GACTCAAAAGTTGACAATCAAGTCTTAGATCTCACTCTTTAAGGATTGGTTTGTATTCAGACTAGATGCTTATTCTCATCCATTCACTGATTATGGCAGTTAGCTAAATAGTGGAGAATAAACTTACCATATGTAACTGAAAAATGAGGTAGAGTAATTTGGAAAAGGTGACTTGAAAGTTAAATTTTCAGTTGAATTTATTTAAAAGATAGCTTAATATAATTTTATGATTTTTTTTTTTGCCCAGGGTATTTAATTTTTCTAATTTTATAATGCTTAATAAGTAAAACTCATTCTTTTCCTACCATCTACTCTATAACTGTGATAGAATACTCTAAATTTCATCTCAAAATGTAGTTAGATTCTTTTTTTTAATATTTATTTATTTTATACAAGAACCGGGGTACAGGCCAGATGTGTGGGAGGGTGAGAGGATTCACCAGAGACAGAGTGGGGAACAGAACAGGCAGACTGACGAAATACACTGCTGGGGGGAGCAGCGGGCGAGACAGGAGAGGTCTACCGCACCATGTGGGACCCTTGCTGGCCAGCCGGGATGGAACCAGTGCTGCAGAGGCTGCAGACAGCTTCACAGTGCGGTGCTCAACTGCCTGCGCCACCAGGGGAAGCTCTGTAGTTAGATTCTGCACACTACAATCACACTATTTCAGTCCCTTAGTATGTATCCTCTTATGCTAAAATATAATGCAACTTAGTGCAGGTAGAAAAGTTTTTTTTTTTGGTCAGAAACATAAACAAGATCAAGATATTTTAGAGTGAGGTGCAAAATATGGTTGAGATTTTGGAACCAGCATGCCTTACGAAGCTTGACAATGAAATGGGTCAAAGCAGCTTTGTAGTTGAGGCTAGAGAAGAGTAGTTCAAGCTATACTGGGCAACATTTGAATTCAGATAATCAGATACACAAAATAAGGACTAAGGTGAAACTTAAATTAACAGGAAGAGAGACATCATCCTACTGTCTTCTACTGTCTTCTCACATTCAGGATTGCTCTTAAAGTCTGAAAATTATTATACTTACTATGTTTTCATGTAGACAGTGGAGGACTTCACAAAGACTTAGAAACAAAGTTAAAAAATGATAAATGAGATAATGGAAGGTCAGTCAAAACAGAGATAGGTGCAAAATCTTAGGACAGACACCCAAGAAGAAAGTTCTTCATCAGAGATTGAAAATGTTAAAAGAATATAAAATATACTCTAACAAAATGAAGTCAAATATAGACAGTACTTTACATAGAATTAAACTGACAAAAGAATTTCAGACTCAAGTGATTTCAGACAAATCACTGAACTGGAAAAAGAGACAACAAAAAGGCATAAGAAAAAATGAGGGAGGGCCTCCCTGGTGGCGCAGTGGTTGAGCGCTGCCCACAGCCTCTGCAGCGCCGGTTCGATCCCCTGCCACTGGGTGAGGGTCCCACATGGCACGCAGACCTCTCCTGCTGCCCGCTGCTCCCCTCAGCAGTGTATTTCATCAGTCTGTCTGTTCTGCTCCCTGCTCTGGCTCTGGTGAGTTCTCTCACCCTCCTGTGCTTCTGACTGTACCCAGCACTTGTATAAATAAATCTTTAAAAAAAATGAGGGAAATCTACAAGAAATATCAGACTCAATTTAAAGAGAAAGAATAAGGATAATGGGTGTTCCAGAAGGTAAAGAGAGAAAGGAGTAGAGACCCTCTTCAAATAAATAATAAAAAGTTCTCTGATTATATATATTCTGAAATAGTGGGACCTAGGTATCAGTACTTAAAACACAATCCAAGAAAGAAACAAAACTTCCTATAAGGGTTTCTAAATGCTGTCTATATTGAAAATCATTATCATGGCAAATATATTTTAGACATTAGAGACCATGTCTTCTCATCTTTGTATTCCATGCACTGTACAAAAGCTAAAACACAACATTCATGATCATACTTCTTAAAACTTTTCAGACATTTCCAATTGTCTCAATGCCCAGTGTGATCCAGAGAAGACCACTGGCTCTCATTCTTTGTGTTTCTAGCCTCATCTTCAGCTTTGACTCTGTCTACGCATTTTCCCTCAAGCCAGACTCATAATGCAGTTATTTCCCATTTCCTTCATGTACCTCTCAGCCTTTACACTCTCTCCTCTATTTGTAACAGTCCTACTGCCTCCTTCCCTCAATTCAGAAGCATGGCAGCCTTCTCTGGCCAGCTCAGTCTTGCTATAGGCTACCTTATCGTAATATGCCATAATATCATTTATTACTTATAGCACTTACCTCATACTATTGTAAATGCTTATTAAATTTTTAATATTCCCAGCTAGTATTTACATAAGAGAAGGAACTATTTTTATATTTTAATATTAATACTTCAGTTGAATAAGGAATGAGTGAATGTTGTAAATGATAAACGATACAATTAGTATCTTAAAAGTTTTAGCTCCAAATGAGGATTTATTGTAATGACCAGGAAAATTATTGTGATGGCAACAATTGCTAATGCTAATGAATAGCATTGTTAAGTGCTTACTCAGTGCTATACCGCCAGACCCAGTGCTAAGAGCTTAACATAATTGTAATGATTTAGTCATCATGGAAACCCTTCAATGTAGTTATTGTTACTATTGCTATTTTATGGATGAGGAAACTGAAACTTGGGGACATTCAGTAACTTGCCCATGATTTCCAAGCTAGTAAGTGATAACAAGAGATTGCAATATCTATTAACTAAAATCCGAACTACGGTAACTTTAAATGATCCAAATAATCTAAACTGTGGTGACTTTAAATGATAAACTTTTATTCTGAGGGGTAAAGCTGTAGTTTCCAGATTTTGGAGTTTTACTGGTCAGTGTACTTTTGAAATACAAAAAGAGGAGGAAGTAAAAGATGGGTAATGACAGCTGATTTATTACCTATTTCACTATTTACAAGTGAAACTATCCCATAACTTCATAAAAAGATCAACTATCCCATAACCTCATAAAAAGATCATTTTTTTTTAAGTAAACAAAGAGATAAACTAGAAGAAAAATCATTCCTTCTCAATACCGGAAATTGACAATCTTATTCCAGACTAGGGACATTATATATTATCTTTGTATACAGTGTATTGGAGAGCTGGTAGTCTAGAATGACCGTCGTAAGAAAAATTACTGAGTTAGTTAACTCAGTTGGCCACCAGCTTATTTTGTTAACAGTGGACTAGGAATCTGAGTTGCTAACTCAAAGTAATTTTTTCTTATGGTAGTAGTGCTAGATACCAGCTCTCCAGCACTTAATTTCACTGGGCAACTTCATGTGAAAGTGAGCAGTTTTAGTGGCATGCATTGTATATCTTAGGATTTGTTAAATTTGTTTATACTGAACATTTATTTATGGAAACATGCAATATGAGAATGATGCTTTAAACCATTCCCCACTATCGTATAATATCCATGATGAATTTATTTCCATTTAGAAGATATTGTAAAAGAAACTGAAAATGTTACAAATAACCTTTAAATATATGTTCTGGTCTTGAGATACTAAAATACTAAAATGAGGATAAAGTATTTAAAAAAATCCATGTACCTAAGTAAACTCAAAATTTAAATTTTATCAGTATGCATTTTGGTAAATATAGTATTTAACATATCAATAATTATAAATTTTCACTTAGATGTCTGAGTCAGGCTTACATTATAAAAATTAGTAATGGAAATTAAAAAAACTGTTTAATCATTAAAATAAATGCACTCAAAAATCCTAGTTTATATGTGGTGCAGTAGACATTGCCATATGCTCAGTGATTTTATTGGTTTGTGCTTTGTGAATAACCCCACTTTGATATGAGAATTTTGGAATTAAGAAATGTCCAAGACCTTGCATTTATTAGTATCTCATACCAGTACCTAAAATATTTCAGTGGTCAGAGATATAATACCTTTAAGACTAAATTTCTAAAACTGAGTTGAATATAATGCAAAGACGCTATCAGTATATGTGGATATGTAAAAATATTGAAATTTAGGTTTTTAAGTTTATAGGGCTAGTGACAGCAGTGGATGTTTGGTTTTGTTTTAAATAGAGGTATACTGAAAGTGTTTGCTGTCAGAGGTTTTAAGTCCTCACATAGAGGAGACTGAATGTTTGAGAAAGTAATTGATGTCCCAAGGGAAAAGGTGGGGGTAGGGTAGGATCAAGATGATTGATAGAGGAAATAAGGGCCTCTCGGGAGTAAGAGAATTGATTAAGAAGATCAGTTGGTACAGAAAAAAGCCAGATGTTCCAAAAACAGAAAAACAAATGTCATCTACCTTAAACTTTTAATAGTTTTTTCCCCCGTTAAAATGCCTTTATCAGTAATCACCATCATCGGTACCCACAAATTACATTTTTCTAATGTATATGTGTTCTCCATGGATCTCATGGGAATGCCTAGAAAGGAAGGTGGCATTATACTAGAATCACACAATCAGGCACATTGCTAGGCAAACATAGGAGGGCACTTCTAAGCTACTGTAAAAGTAAAAAGAATCTAACAAGTTATTTTGAATTTTCACACTAGTCATCATTGTCTTAGGTGCTGTTGGCTTATAAAACAGGTAGGGGAGATATTTAAATGTTAGATATTTGAAAGATACACATATTTCAGATACCCTGACTTGTTTCTTTAAAACTATTTTGCCAAGGTGTTTAAAGAAACATGGAAACATAATTTCTGCCTGGAATGTTTTTTTAAACAGCAGAAGACCAAAGTCTAATTTAAAATATTCCTAAGTGCCTTGATGACAGAGATACGTATGAGAAGGGTCAGAGTTGTGTAGAGGAGTTGCAAGTCCAGAGTGTCTTTCTGAGTTGAAATTTGTAATTGTAAAAGCACATTTGTAGTCCCAAATTTTATTTCCACAATCTAGAATTCTCTACACAGGAAGGTCTGCTTTCCTAAAAAATATTTATGCAGAGCGCCCTGTCACTTTCAATGGGATTTTCAATAAATCAAATAATCCAAACTGTGGTGACTTTAAAATGATAAACTTTTATTCTGAATATACTGTTTTTGCACAAGATTTAACACAACATTTTCTGGGATTATAAATATTTTTATAACAGTATTATACAAATTTTTACAAAATGTTTTTCTCAGGCTAGTTAATTTCCACAAAAGTGTCAAGAGAACATAATAAAGGGGAGAAAAGATCATTTGTTCACAAAGCCACTTGGCCTTTTGCATGGATGCACACTGAGCATTTCAATAAAAGTATCCCTAAAAGCATGATCCAACGATCACACAGCACAACAAAAAGGACAGCTTTGTCAGGTCACACTGTAAACTCAATTGGCATCTATACAAGACAGTATCCCATTAGTCCAGTGGAATTTTTTTGAGTTAATTATGTGAACTAGAAATAAGGTAGATGAAACTGTTGGTAAGGGTTGTCTAAATCTTTGAAAATTTGGAATTATTTTAAACTTACCTTTGTTTTATTGATTTGCTCTTTACAGAAATTTACACTGAATATTAGCAATGCTAACATTCTACTATGGGAAAACAATACAAGTTGCAGATATTAAGATATTTGAAATTGTGGGCAAGGAAATAGTCTATTTTTATTTTACATTAAAAAAATTCACAACACCCATTTTGTTTCAATTAGTCTAACTCTATCTCTAGACATTTTCATGTTAATCAACATGATTAATGGAATAGTTTTAAGAGTTTTAAATTGAGACATAGAATTTAAGCTTTGATGGAGATAAGATTTAAATGAGATGTAAAATAGAAGAGAGCATCAAATAAGCAAGTAACACTTGGGTTGCAAAGGTCACTTAAAAGAGATACTGCCTATTTGAACCCAGTAAGGCCAGTTTTTAAGTTAATAAAAGGAATTTTATAGGAAAACTTACAAATGGCAGCAACACTGTTTTGTTTTTCCAAGTTAAGCAATAATGCCTCAGCATTAGAAACATGAAAAAAGATCATACTAAAATCTTACAAGCCCAGGACCTAAAAATCTCCTCAATCAAACTTGCAATGTCATGTTAAAAACCTGTTACAAATATGGACCACGATTGGTGTTTGGCAGTAATGCTGGTTGTTCAAATGAAGAAAAAAAGAAATCTGTAATGCAAAATTCATTCCTGTTAGTCAACACCAAAGCAAGTCTTATTCTGATATTGTTTTTGGTGACATACTCCATTAAGTTGCATGAATGTAGCAAAACTTAGAGTTTAAGAGCTTTCTTCTTGATCTCCTGTACTGCCCAGTATTTAGAAATCAATATTTATAACAGGCTATAATTTAAGTTCTTGTCAACAATTGGAACTTACAGAAAAATCCTAAGTGAAATGTGACAATGGGATTGGAGGGGCGTTACTTTCTTCTTTAAAAGTATGATGAAAGCATGATGAACAGCATTAGTCATGAGAACAATTTTAGTCAGAGAGCACATTCTTACCCAATTTATTATCATGTATATAGTTGCCATAATATAGAACTATTTTATAACCAAAAGAATCATGCGTGTAAATATATTTTGATGGCAAATGAAATCAAATAGGACCCTGCCAAGAGATGCCAAGTTTAACTGTGATTAACAATACAACAATAATGTAGTTGATGAAAACATACTATTTCAGTGACATCAGCCATGAAAATATATTTAATAGATTTTTAACATAACTTAAGGTAGTTTGTTGTATGCTGGAAGCAATCAATTTTTTTTAATGTGCGTCATATATACATAAACTAATATAATTCCGTATTTTGATATCCCCGTCCCAATACTTTCATGATTTAAAATAGTCTAGCAAAAGTTAACAATAAGTTTAATTTACAAACAACATGATTTAAACATATTGTTCCTAGAGTGAGAAGTTCCATATTTTTTTTAAATCACTTTGGTGTTTTCTAAAATGGCAATACCAGTTACAAGTGAGACTACAAAATCACAACAATGCATTAGAAATGGTAACCGATGTCAACTCTTAGAACAATAATTGGCAAAGTGATTCCATTTTCCCCTCCCCCCTTTTAAATAAAAAAATATTTAAAATAAGGAAATGTACACAAATGGTACCTAGGGTATATTGGTGGTAGGAAGGAATTACAAATGTATGCAAAGCTAAAATCAAATATATCTCTGAAACTATGCTAAAGAATTAGTGTTATATATTTGATATGTGAAACATATTAAAGCATGCTGTATAATATTAAGATTTTGACTTAAAAATAATATATAAGAAAATTTCCAGCATATACACACACCAATATTTGGCATGTCCAAAAAAACGCATTTTACCATAAAAAATATCTGCTTCCAGCCTTCAGTAGAATTATTTCACTAACTAGAGTGACATACTCATTATTACCCTCTCTTCAAATACTGTTTACTCTTGAAAATAATTTTTGAAAGCATAAATAATATTTTGCTACCGTGTTAATCTATAATGAATTATCTGATTTACTACACTAACTTTTCACCAATGAGGCTGTATAAAAACAATTTTGATTATTCACAATCAAGTATTCATGTGCATACATATAGATTCAAGGTTTCCTATTTGTTCATATTTTTGTAAAACCCTCATCAAACTGCATGAAAATTTTGGTGAAGTGATCCTACCTTTAAAACAGAGGGGCTAAAGCAGCAAGAGCAGCAGCAGAAATTTTTCAATAATATGTGCCACTTTTCAAACGAACAAAGAGGAAACCTAAGATGAATCTTCATTGAGAACATATATGTACTTTTCAAAAAATAAATGTGTCAAATCTGATTTATGTACTTAAAATATCTGTACATAGGTTTTCAGGCAAAAGCACGAATCTGTATAAAATCCATTAATTCCCATGTCACCATTTATCTAACCCAATCATCCAGCATTTACATTGCACAGTATATTCAGAGTAGTTTAACGACATTTTAAAAGATGACTTAAGTGCATTACATTGCAAGGTTCAGATTCTTACATAACAATAATGTCACTCAATTAACTTTTCAATGGACTACACTCTACAGTAAGAGAAAAATAAACTGAAAGTTAAAATAGCAGCAGCATCATGCAAAATACCCTTGGTAACCAAAGTTCATTCATTTATCACAAGAAAAACATTTCCCCCTCCCCCCAACAAGCTTTTCTTAGAGCATTTTGAAATATCTGGCCAGCACTACACAACTTTACTGTTAACAAAAGGAACATTACATCAAAGCATTTCTAAGGGCTTACATTTATGAGGAAATATATCGCATATTCTAATTTCACCCTCAAGCACCTTAAGGTTAATAATTTCTTAGTTATTATTTTCAAACAACCAATAAATTACCCCACCAAAACTTAATTGGTCATCATTTGTGTTATATTTTTGGCGTAGAAGCCATTCTTCATAAGGCATTTTATTCATGGCGAATTTTTAATAGAAAATTAGCCATTTATATTTCAAGAGATTACACCAATGTTAAATTCTCTCTCTTTATATAGATATATATATATATATTTTTTTTCTTAATAATAACTATTCAAAGCAGGAAATAATTTTTAGCAGAACAAGTAAAGGCAAAAATAAGTAATTTCCCCCGAGAGATTTTCTTGGTAACAGAACAAGGACTGCAGCAAGTCAAAATTCCAGGTTAAAATCAATACAATTTGCATGATTCATAAACGATTGTGTGGGGAGCCCTTTTACATATAATCACCAACAATGCAACAACAAACTCTCAGATTTTCCACTAGAGCACATATAGAATTTTGCTTTGATGTTATACATACATGATGCAGCATTCACACAAGTTTAGGATCTCACACCCTGACATGCAGCCAGTGGGTGCCTATGAGTCTGTCCTTAGATTTATGCCATGGTCGGGGCCCAGCTAATGTTCTGCTGATTCCACAGCTGATCCTGTTTTAATGCAATTGAGGGCTCATGTTTTGGCAGGGTCTGGAGTTTAAGCATGTCGATTTGGTTTTAGAAGGTCATAAGTGGCAGTGTCTACTGCCGGATAAAAGCCAAAGTAGTACAAATTGTATTCCAAGGATGGACCATAGGGAGGGATTCAATCCAGAAACGCCACCACAGTCACTATAATCTTCCTGTTGGAAAGAAAAAGATAAAGGAAAAGTCTTGAGAAACTTACGAAAACAGCTTTCAGAGCACTCCATGGTTAGTCCATTTCTGAACTCACCTGATAACATGGGTTTAATTTGAATCCAAACACACTACATTCTCTGGACTTAAGTGTTCAACAATTTTGGATAGAACAATTCCCTTATTACCATTTGATGAAAGCTTTAAATTATTGACTAATATGCCAATTCCTAAGGAGAAAATTGACTTTCATGTTGTCAAATATTGCATATTTATAAATGCAGGAAATAACAAATAAAATCTGATACCTTTTATAATCTCCAAGTATTATGATTTTTAGCAAATAGGGCTTGTATGGCAAAATTTGGGACTGGTTAAAAAAAATGAACTTCTGTTTCCCATACATCTTAGTCAATCTCTTAGGTGAACATAAATGCCCATGTAGCATCTGAACCTTCATCAATAAATAACATTGTAACATTAAAATAACAATGTATTTGAAGCATGAACAATGAAAGAACACTGAAGAGAAATAGTGAAAGTAAAGAAATAAACTGGGAAGAGCACTTTTTGTTTGTTTAGAGAACCATGAAGATAGCAATGAATATAAACAGTTGGATTCCCCCTATGGATGGCTCAGTAGGTACATTCCTAGCATAAAATTACCATTTATTCCTCAGTTCTGTATTCTGTAACTTTTTCCAAATCCTCTAATTCTTTAGTGTATTGAATTTATCTAATAAACACATCATATTTAATTTTTCCTAAATGTATCTAAAGTATCCACTAATAAAAGTTTAATCTTCTAATACTCCAAATAGGTAATATAAGAAATAAATGTATTTTCTTTTCAGAATAATTTCACAAAGACTCAAAACTCCCAGAGCTCAAGCACATTGACTCTCACTAGGGTTTAACACACTGCCTGCCATCTAGTAAACAAGTAAAATTTATTTCTTGAAGAAAACTAGGTACTTAAAATCTTAAGGTAGCAGAACTGTGTTTAGGAGGAGTCTGAGAATTGGACTTCCATTAAGAAATTATGAGGAAAGATCTTATTTTTCAAAAGCTATCTCAAATCTACAGAATCTTTAAAGAATTATCAATTCTCCTCTTACTTTTTTGGAGCCCCTGACAATGTGGAATAGTCTTAACTTGAGATATTTTCTCATGTATTGTATCTTTTGTTAACATACTCTTTGGCTTTACTTCAAACCTGTTTGTGGTTTGTCTAACTTCCTTTGGCTCGACCCCATCCTTTTTATGCTCTTCAAATGTTAGACTTCCAGGAGATGGGTGCTCTCTTTTTTTTTCATTTGGAATTTCTTCCTTGGTGATCTAATTCAATCCTATGGCTTTGGATAGCATCTATTTTTTAACAACTCATTTTAATTTTTTTTTAAGATTTATTTTTGCATACAAGAGCTGGGGTACAGGCCAGAGATGCAGGGGGTGGGGGGGCGGTGAGAGGATCCATCAGAGACAGAGTGGGGAGCAGAACAGGCAGACTGACCGAAGTACACTGCTGAGGGGAGCAGCGGGTGAGTCAGGAGAGGTCTGCTGTGCCATGTGGGTTGCTCCCTGGCTGGCCGGGGATCAAACTCATGCTGCAGAGGCTGTGCATTGCTTTACAAGTGCTGTGCTTAACCCCTTGCGCCACCAGGGAGGCCCCTAATTTTACTTTCATTATGAAAATAGTCTGTTTTAAATTTAAGCTTTATTGATAAACACTTGACAAAGGAAAGTATAAGATATTTAAAATACAAATTGTTGTGATCATGAATTTTCCCATCTAGTTACCACATCACCTATTTTTTTCAAGAACATTTAAGTTGTATTTTCCTAGCAAATCACAATTATGTAATATTAATATTAAATGTAATGGCCTTGTTTTACATTAGCATCTCAGATCTTACTCATCTTAAAGTTGAAGTCTGTGTTCTTTTATCAACCTCTCCCTCTGTCACCCTCCCCCCTTTTGTTTTTACATTGTGCATTGTAAGTGATGCCATGTAGTTTTGTCTTTCTCTGTTTGGCTTATTTTATCTAGCATAATGGTTTCTAGGGCCACCAGTGTTATTGCAGATTGCAAACTTTCTTTTTCACATTATCTTTATCCATTGATCGTTACACTATTTCCTAATGAGGGCTACTACAAATTAGTGTAGTGATGTCATTCCTTGAGTTCTTAATATACTGATTCTGTTTTTTTTCTTTTTATTCAAAGCATATTTTCTATCTTTGGCTTAATTTTTTCCCCTGAGCTCAAGGAGTTACTTTATTTAATTTTCTTGTATCCCTTTGACTTGTTTTTCTGAGTTTTGCAGTGTCTCCTTGAGTTCTTAAGGATACCAATTTGGAGGCTTTTAATCCAATAAGGACATATAATCTACCATGATTTTCAGATGGGTTCCTGGACAGTTCAGACTCTTTGTGATGTCGTAATACCTTGAGGTTTTCAAAATGGCACATAAATCCTTTCTTCCATTTTGCTACTTTGTACTTGGCATTTAAAAAAATACATCTGAATCAGCAACTTACAACTACTCTATTATTCTCCAGCAGGTGTGCTTTGGATTTTTGTTTGGTTTTTTCTTTTTTGGAGGGCTGAAGGGACTGTTGGAAGCTTTGTGGCCTCAGGTATAAGATGTGCTTCTCTGAGAGCAGGTTTGAGGCAAAGTCCAGAGATTTAGTCATTGTGGATGTTGTGAGGAGAGTCTGTAGCCTTGCTGTTTTCCTTCTCCCTTCATGCCTCAGTTCTGAGACTCTGCAGTCAATCTGCTGTTATTATACTTTACGGCACCAGTATACATCCTGGGGGTGAGGAGTAGGAGTGTAGTCTGTAGTGCCTTCTCTGTAATCCATCTTCATGCATCCTATTCTGTTCCTCTGTTAATTACTTATGCATGCAATTCTTACTTAAAACCTAAGGGCAGATACTACCACACTGTTCTCTATATCCAGGGGCTTTGTCAGCCTTGCTGTCTGTTTCCCCTAGACCGTCAACTGTACACATTGCTTTCCACCCTCCTATTATCACACAGATGTGTAGATGTCTGTGCCGTTTCTTCTGTTGGAATAGGTGTTGGTCTTTAAGGTGCAAAGGGGTGCTTCAGTCTCACCACCATGATGTGAGTTTTTCTCAGTGGATTGCTCCTCCTTGGTAACTGTTAAAAGTTGTTCTTGTGTGTGATGCCATGAGTGTCCTCTGTCATAACTTGGTGATGTTACTTGCTTTGCTAGTATCTTGTTCATCTGGGATGTTGGACTCTGTCTTTGTTGTAATGTCCTAATCTGATTTTGGTATCAGAGTAATGAACTCATGAATGAGCTCAGCAGCATTCCCTTGTTTCAACTGTTGGCAGAATTTGAGCAGTGGGTTATCTTTTGTAATTATCTGTTAGAATTAACTAGTGAAGCCATGTTGTCCTGGACTTTTTTTGCACTGGGATGTTTTTTATTGCAATTTAGTAATCATGGTAGTAATTGGTGGGTTCAGAATTTCTATTTATTCGTGAGTCAGTCTTGATGGAGAATGTTTCTAGGAATTCGTATTTTCTAGATTGTTCAATTTTTTAGTGTACAATTGTTCACAGAAGTCTCATGATAACTTCTAGTGTACAAGTTGTAACGTAATTTTAGGTAAAGACTTGTAAATTTGTCACTGTATTTAAGAACTTTTCTTAGTTTTATTGATATCTTCTATTGTTTTTTGTTGTCTCTATTACTGCACTAATCTTTATTCCCTGCCTTAGATACAATATGTGCTTTGTTCTCTCTATAGTTTAAGGTTTAAATTTAGGCTGAGATTTGTTTTAATACTCAAAAGGACAGGTTTATTCTAAAAATAAAGAAAAAGATGGTTTCACAGACACGAGGGTAGAAAGAACTGCCGAGATTTTATTTTTTCTTAAAGGAGGTATTTATTGCTAGGAACTTTTGCTTTTGTTAATGTCCCAAAACTCTGGTACATAGAATTCCCATTTTCATTTTTGTCAGGGTATTTATCCCTTTTGATTTTTTCTTAAACCCACTTTTTATTTGGTAGGATATAGTGAATTTTCTATTATCTTCTTGTAACTGATTTCGAGTTTGTTGTGTTGTAGTCAGAAAATGTTTGATGTGACTTCAATCTTTGTAAAATTATTAGTTTTGGTAGATGTTCAACAATCCTGAAAAATGTTTCATATGTGAGATGAATATGTATGCTGCTGTTGTAGAATTGTATTAAGTGTATACTGTCTAAAATATAAATATAGATTAAATCCAAAGTTTCTTTGACTTTTTGTCTACATCCTATACATTGTTTAATGGGGAGGGGGTGTCTCATATTCTCCCTTCAGTAGAAATATTTGCTTTATATAACTAAGTGCCTCTTTGTTGAGTACAGAAATATTTACAAAGGTTATGCAAATGATCCTAATATGCCTTATAACTTTAAGATGTTAAAGTGTTAAGTATTCATTAGAATGCCTAATTTATGTTTAAAATTTTGAATTGGGGTGGGGTGTAGCAATATGTGTTACCACATCATGATGCTGGACAGCAGTAGTAAGATGCAGTGCTGGTAAGTCATGTGATTACGAAAGTAAACAATCATTCCGGTTTTCATTCTCAGTGTAATAGTTAATAAATTACATGAGATAATCACCTATCATAAAATAGCCCGCAGCTGGACAAAGTTATCTAACAGTGTCAAATGTAAGTATTCTGAACATGCTTTGGTTAATTTAGGCTAAATTCTGGATCTCCATTTTTCAATTTAGAAGTAGAGGATGATCTGTGTTCTCTTGCTATTTTTTTTTATTATATATGTTGCTCTTTATCATTTTATATGGTCTTACTGCAATCTTTGATTTAAAGGTCATTTTGTCTGATGAATATAGCAACATTTTTTTCCATTTCAGTCTTTTCAGGGAAAGTCTGAGATAAGCATTTTGTCCCCCTGCCTCTCACAAAGTCTTGGGGGGTTGGTTTAGGAGTCCTCAAAAGCCCATTAAGAATGTTTACTTTGCTTGCTGTAGTCATGGGGGCTGTAGCAAATGGACACAAGCCCCATCAATTTTCAGACAGATGTTTTGGGGACCTGTCCCTCAGTTGGAACTCCAGTAGTTATACTAAATACTGGGTTGAAACACATTACACTCCAGGGAGAAGTTGGCTGTTTTGTGTGCCTTCCCCACTGTAAGACTGCAAAGGGTAAAAGTGTGTTTCCACTTTTCTGATCCATTTCAGTGTATTTTGTTAGTGTGTCCAAATAGTTTAGCTCATTTTTGGATTTCTTGCATGGTGTTCTTAAGTGTATAACTATAGATTGTTTCTGCCGAAGTAGGTAAATTTTGGTGCCTCCTATGTTGCCACTTGAATTGAAACCACAATCGCTTACACTTTTATATCTTTAGGTCTGAATTTTCCTGTGACCTCCACATTTCACTGACTTCTACAATCTCTCCTTTTGTCCATATACTAGTTTGCTCATCTGTGATTCATTCCTGTTTCTCACATGTTAGCTATCAGTATGGCTGAACTATAGCTCAAAGTATATCCCCAAATCTACTACTTCTCAATTTCAGATACAAATAATTGTCACCTCTTGCTAATTACTGACTCAGTTGTCTTGTTGATCCTACTCTTGCCCTTTTACAGAACCTTCTTCAAGCAGTGGTCTGCTTAAAACGACCAACGAAATCTTTTTGCTTCTTCCTTTACTCTTGGAATAAAATCTAAATGCCTACCCAGACCTGAAAAATCTTACATGGTCTGGAGGGTGGCTGCCTCTCCATTTCGCCCATGCCTGCCTCTCTCTCCCCCACTCACTGTATTCCCATAATGAATGATTTTTGTGCAACAGGCCAAGGGGCCTGTTATTTCAGAGACTTTGCACTTGTTCTTCTCTTTGTTCAGATACTTTCTCTGCAGGCATTTAACCAGATTAAAGGGATTTTCAGTTATATTTGAATGTCACATTATATTTGAAATAATTATTTCATAGGCATACCTCAAGAACTGTTTGATAGTAGGTGTGCAGTAAGTGAATAGTAGTTACTCAGAGCAGGACTGAATGATGGGTTAGAAACACCACAAATACTAAATACTAAAAGGCTTAGTTTTCACTTCACAAGGAGGGTGTCGCAGTTCGGGTTAAGGACACAGGTGAAGAAATGGGAAAGTTAGCACACACACACACAAGACCCATTTTATGTATTTAGGATATATTTTGTCAAAGAAAGGAATGTAAAACATCTTTGTATTTTAGAAATGTCATGGAAAAAATAATCTCTTTTTCATTCCATTGTTTTTTACTCTATTTTAAAGACTGACTTTATTTCAGGCTGGGAGGCAGTAGTTTTGATTGGTTTAGTGACTCAATAAATTACCCCTTCAGTTTTCTGATCATGTCTTCTTATGCATTTTGAATGCTGCAACCACATATACTAAGACTTGAAAGTATTGTATGAAAAGAATGAGATGTATTCTAAAGCATAAATGTATAGATACGGGAGAAATTTCAATTTTTCTGTCCTAGAGAACAAAAGCCCACTGATACTACATAAGTTAGCCTGGAACTTTATGATTACAATAGTAGAAATTAACAGATTGGTACCTTATTTCAGGTTCAGACCTTAACATAGAAATAGGATTAAATATTTGCTTTTAAGGATCTCTCTCAAAAGAATCTTCAGAGTGATGAATTCCTCATCCCATTTAACTTTTCTGTTACTTAAGGAAAGGAAAAAAAAATCGAAACCATAGTTAAACTCCTAACGAGTCTGCCCTAACATTTACTTTTTAAGACCGTGTAAACTTTTGAATTTTCTCTTGTCTAATAAGCATTGTTCATGTATTACTCCGCCTTTTTTTCTTTTTTAACCAGCTGGGATCTGGGAAAAGTAATTCCACCTAATAAAAACTAAATATATTAATACATGTAGAAATAAATTCTCCCAAAAGAAAGTTGGTATTTTGGCTGGGAAGATTTCTTTTCAGATAAGGCAACTAATTAGTGAAGGCAATCACCAAATATTGGGTAAGTTCTGATTCAAACAGGTCTGTACTTAAGTCACCCAATAACTTCAAAGAAAATACATATTAATTTTTTTAGTCAGGTGCATAGTCATTTTCATGTAGTCAGTGACACCTAGCAGTAATAAGGTTTCCATAAAATAATAATTCTTGAAGGGCACATAATATTGATTTTACATTCTTTTTACAATTTAAGTATAAAATGAGCTCTTATAAAATACAATTTTAACAGGTTTTAAGAAAGTTCTAAGTGTTATAGGACCTCATAATCTATATATGCTTTTTTTGGACTCTAACAGGGTCCAAGAAGGCTGAGTCATTCTTATCATCCTACCCAAATCCCTGGGACTAGCCTGAGTAACATGAAACTTACATGTAGACCTTTAGTGGTATAGACTGTGGGTGACAACTACTGCTTAACATCCCAATATTTTTGCAATGTTATTTTTTCAATTTTCCATCATGTCAGAGGAAATACCTCCCCTGCTATCATAATTAAAGAGAGTGGCCCTCCTCTATGGTAACTGTTTTAAAACATCCAACCCCTGGTTTATTCATTTAAAGCATATGCCATATACATTATCTTCTCGATACACTTCTAGGAGAAAATGTCTAAGAAATCTATCTGTACTCATCTTTCAAAAATAATTATATTAATAGCTTTTGAGTCCATGGTATTATTCCAAAGAAAAGCCTGCCTTTTTTTTTTTTTTTTTTTTTTTAAGGGGGGTGTCTTGGATGGAAAAACTGTTGAATTTGAATTGTTACCATAAGGGGGGAACCTTGTGGACTTAACTCTAAATTTGATTTTTTCTAGTACTAAGGCATTTGTGCATCATATTGATAGCCTCTAACTCTTATCCCAAAATACTGTACTGGAAACATGGAGACTTTTCCATCAAAGGTATATTGTAAATTTTTCACCATTCCTCAAATATAAAACATAATAGTTTTTGGCTCATTTGTATTATGACCACAAACAGGGACATTTAACTAGTCTTTAAAGAAGAATAGAATTATCTCAAATACTGCCTACATACAATTTTTTAAATGCCCATGGAGTTTTATGATTTAATTATTAAAACCAGGTAGATTTTTTTCAGTGAAAACCAGTATTTTTATAATTCCAGATTACTATTGATTACTTTGAGATTCTTTTCCTATTTCACTTTTTCCCTCTGATCAACTCATTTCATTTGTAATAGTGGCCACAACTCCATCTAGTGGTTTCCTAATCAATGAATATCTAAGCAACAATTAAAAAAAAAAAACAAAAAAAAGTCATTCCAGAGCATTTAGTTTACAAAAGAAATTTTAATACTGTAAATAGAATTCTGAACACAAAGGCCCTGAAACATCTATGTAATACTACAGAAAATTGTCATAGGGTTGATAAGTGAAAGTGTCAACATTTTTGTGAGTAAAATTTGTTTAAACTGTTATGGCTAAGGGAAATTAGTATGGCTGACTTAGAAATTCCTGAATAGTGTTTGATAAAATTGAAATGGTTTATTGCATTTGTTAGCATGTGTAAGTTTGCTCTCCACATGGACTTACTCTTTACACATAGGAAGTCATGATTGTAAAATATACATAGGAGAGTGATATGCTCTATTTGTAAAACATCAGTATAGGAGCTCATCAGTGTGTGTTACCTAAAGAAAAGACAAACCTTAAAATCTGATTTGGGGGAAATTAGTTAAATAGAGGGCATTCATTTTTATGTACCTTTACATTTGAAAATAGTTATTTTAATCATCAAAAGCATAAAAGCATAGAGCTGATTAGATACACAGTAAGCGATAATAGTGCTTAGTGAAGGCCAGCTGACCCGTAGAAATAGTGCTCATCTCTGAATAACATGCACTAAATTTATTACCTGGTTAATGACAAACAATAGAAAAAGGTTACAATTACAAGAATATCAATCTAATATGTGAAAGAATAGAATCCATGTAGTGACTTAAAAGCTAATGGATGATAACTCCTTAGGACTGGAGTGTAAGTGCAGAGAGCCTGCTCACAACACAGTAACAGTCACTGCATGACTGAAGTGCAGTGTTTGGAATTGTATTTGCAAGTACAATTCTATGGGAAGGAGGGACAGAAAGCAGGAGCTGTAAAGGTAAAGTGTGATATAGCAAACACCTGTCTTACCAGGATATTGTTATCAAAGCAGACATCAGGCCCTTTTCGGTATCTTGGCTGCTTAACCATATCACAAGGATCTGGACCGTCAGCTAAAGGAACTTGTTAAGGCTTGTGCATGTACAGCATTGCCAGACACTTAAAAGAAACAAGGCAATACAATTATGTCCCCAAATGGCAAGAGGCACACAGGAAATCCCTCTTCAGGAGGAAGAGAGGAAGAGAAAGAGAAGAGGAGAGAGAGAGAGAGGAGCAGAGAAGGAAGAGGAAGAAAGGAGGAGGGCCAGAGAGAGGAACGGAAAGGGAGAAGAGGAGGACAGAGACGAAGAAAAAGGAGGGAGGAGGGAGGAAAGAGGATGAGGGAGAGGGAGAGAAAGAAGAGGGAGGAGGACAGAGAGATGAAGAGAAAAGGAGAGAGAGGGGGGAGAGAGCAAGAGAAAAAGAGGAGAGAGAGGAAGCGAGAAAGAGGAGAGGGAGAGAGTTGAAGGAGAGACAGAAAGAGGAGAGATGGGGGGAAGAAAGAGGAGGAGAAAGAGGAGAGGAGAAAGTGAGGAGAGCAAGAGGAAGAGGAAGGAGAGAGAGATGGGGAGAAAGAGGAGGCGAGAAGAGAAAGAGGAGAGAGGGAGTGGAGGGGAAGAGAGGGAAGAAGAAAGGAATAGAAAGAAAAAGAGGGAGAAGAGGAAGGGAGAGGAGAAAGAAGAGGAAGGAGAGACAGGGAGAGGGAGGACAGAGAAAGAGGAAGAGAGAAGAGGAGGAGAAAAGGAAGAAGAGGGAGAAGATGAGAGAGGGGACGTGAACGGAGGAGAGAAGGAAGAAAGGAGCGAGGAAGAGGAGACAGACGGGGAGAGAGGAGGAAGAGAGACAGCAAGAGAAAGGAAGAGAGGAGGGACGGGAGAGAGGGGGAGAAAAGAGCAACGATAAGACTCCCTGTCCGCTGTGGCAGCACGACGCTGCAGCTTTCCTCTCCCCTTCACTCCCGCGCAGCAGCCTCGCTGAGACGACCCACCCCCGTGTAGCTTGGCTTTCCTGAAAATAAACCCTGCGAGGAGCTTCAAAGTCCGGGCGGGCCTGTCGGCCGCTGCCTGTGCCCAGGGTGCAACAGCAAAGGATACAGGTCTGCTCTGCTTGGATGAGAAGGCGAGTGTCGCAGGGACAAGTCCCTTTGCTCTCCACCATTATGAATATTAAATTAGTGTTCATAAGTTTTTCTACATGAAAGATTCTGCAAAATAAGGACATGTGCACTGTCTTAGAGAAATAAAAATCCTTCAAATATTAAAATGCATGACAAAATGTTACATCTGAAAAGCAAAGCATTATCAATGAAAACGTTCACGGCAGGTGGATGATTGCAGAGACTACTGAGTTTTATTTATGAGCATGTACCCATTACCTCTGAAATGAATACTAAAAAATTCTGACAGTTTACCTTACTGCTTACTTTGCACTGAGGACTATTTAGTTGTGGAAACATACAGAAGGGCTTACTGCACATGTCTATAAAGCCAAAGTTGCTTCATTTTATACATGAGAAAAGTGAGCAGCATACAAGCGGCCAGGCATCCTGCCTAGATCAGTACTAGTCACAGATCTGTGAAGATGGAAATGGTTCCTGCTTTGTCCACTGTGGTAAGCAACAGCCACATGATGCTAGGAGCAGTTGAAATATGGCTGAGGCAGATTTTTCTTTTAATTGTTGTAACTGGGTGGGCCACCTGTGGCTGTAAATACCAAATTAAACAAAGAGAACCAAAACTTTCAAGTCCCTGCACTGTTTTGCATCTACAACTTAAGCTGCGACTTGACTTTAGCACAAGGTCCATCTGTCAGTAAGCAGGAGTTTCTTTACATTTATGCATTTTTTCAAAGAAGTCGGAATTTCTCTTTTTCTACATTGAACTCTGGTCACAAAACAACTCCCAGGATTTGAGTTAATATATTGAGCACGCTGATCTTTGTTATAACCTAACTAGAAAGGATGCTTAATTTCTAATGGAACATGCTAACAGTCTACAATTCTGTTTCCTGATGTTATTCCTCTAAACAAGATGTTCTTCTTGAGTTCTAACCTGACTTCTGGCCTTTCCTCCCATTATCATATGCTCCATCTCCTGAAACATAGACATTTCTTAAAACAAGTCAGTCTTTTGCTTGAGTTTATTTTTTAAACTGTTAGAAATTTCTTTTCTGAATCCTCTACCACCAAATTACTAGTATTTTCTCAAGCTCAGATGACCTCTTTAATTCCTGTCACTATTTTGTTCCCAACAATAACCTACCCTCAGTCTCTAAAGCAAAATTATTCCAATCCTGTGCCTTACAAGCTGTGACTTTCAAGTCTAATTCTAGTAATCTAGTTCACAGTGATCACTGTTCTCTTAATCCTTCAAAAAAACCCACATTGCCTTTCTCCTCCACCATAATAAAACTTTAGTAGTTCTTGTCGCACAAAATGTTTAACATGCTTTATGGATTTTGACTATTAACTTTGACCTTAGGAATTGATGTTTTTTCCCCTCTTGTTCTTTCACTTTAAAGTAAAATACACTATCCTATATTAAAATCATATTGGGCTTAATAGTTAATTCTGTATGCTTCTTCAACTTTATATTAGAAAGATATTAACATGGTCCTTAGGTTTAAAACACCTTAGAACATAACAGACTAACAACAATCTCTATTACTTTCTGTAGTGATTATATAAAAGTGCATACTTTTTAGAGAGGAATATTCCAGAAATGAAGATATTAATTACCTGGAACAGTTGCCACAGTCTAGTACACCACCGAACGATTTACTGTCATTATCAAAGAAATACTGGGTTTGTTCAGTAATGCAACTCTGTTTGGATAGCGGGGCTGCAAAATCTTCGTCGTCTATCTCAACTGTGGGGAATCAAAACACAGACCATCATCATCAGAGGATATGATGTAAAGCAAAACGAATGTCAAAGGCCAGGGCCTTAATTGGCTAGTTTACTGCAGGGTGACTTAGTGGCAGGACCCAGTGTTTACCTAATCAATTAACTCAAACAAATATCAGCTACAAAATGTGGTCAGTGTGAACCAGAAAAGTTTCAAAAGCATAGGAAGGTTTTCACAGAACTATCAAGTAGCTAGGTTCTCTTGCAGTAGATTTACAAATGGTTCCTTGAACTCAGCACTTCCCAAACAAAAATTATACTTGACAATATGAGAGCATTCAACATACCTGCTTCAAGGAGACGTGGAAAGGTCAAACTCAAGATAAACTGCTGTAGAATAGACCTGAATTTCAAATATTAATAATTACTAAAAATCTAGATTTTTCTTAAATTATATAAGAACTGCTTTTTACATGTACACCTAAACACATTTCATGTATACAAAAAATGAGAATTTCCTAATAAACAGTTGTTCAAATTATACAAAATGTAAATTTTTATCCTCTAAATGAGTATTGAGGACTAAGTGAGGGAAACATGTGTAAAGAGGGCTAATATGGAAGGACATCATGGAGAAATGGTCACTCTGAGGGAAAAATGTCATTATTTCAGGGGCATCAGGTATCACCGATATGATTCTGTCCTGTTTTAGTTGTAAAAGTCAGTGGGGGAAAAGACCAAAAATGTCTGTCTGCCATGGGTTTTTGAGCTACTAGAGAATATTTGCATAATGTAGCACTCTAGTAAAAATGTACACAGAATACATGGCACATATCAATTTCACAACCAGTAACAAGTCATGTTAGCATAGAATCATCTGGAATTGAGCCTATTAAATAATGGAGGAAGAGGGGAGATTCTGGGCAGAAATTAGCATAACACAAGCATTTTTGAATCACTGAGATTCAGAAAACATTACACCATATTACTAATAATTGAATTTTAGCTGGGAAGGCCTCAACATCAAATCACAGGTATAGATGACCCTACAAGGAATATGGCTTTGACAGTAAGGATGCAAAGGAATGCTGGGAAGGCAGGCAGGGAGGGAGACAGCCGATCCCAGACACAAGTCTCAAAGTGTTTAATGTCTTATTTTCAAATGTGATAGGGTATAGGGGATGAAGGAGGTGGGAATGAATGAAAAGAATGCTCTCCATGTCAGGCTGGATGGAGCCCCCTAAGAGTGTGCTAGGTTTTGTATTAACAGAAAAGTAGAAAGTTAAGTCACCATGTTACAAATCTGGTCAATGAGGACCTCTAATTTGGATATTGAAGGTAAGAAATGGTAATATTTTATAGATTAAACTGAAATTTAAACAAAATAAAAATTGACAGATTCAAAGAAAATCTTCTGAAGATGTTGAAGTTTGCATAATCACACTGATTTCATAAATTACTGTATTATATTGATCATTAAGAAAGTGTTTTCTATTACCAATATACATACTATGTAATGAAAAATGAAATTACCATAACTGACATATCAAAAATGTGTACTTTCAATCAAATGTTTTATTATTTCTCAGCACCTTTCATTACCAATAAAATAAGAATTTTGACTTACCAGGCAGCAGCGGTGGCCCACCAGCCAATGTGTAGTATGTCTGCAATGGATGGCTGTAAAAACAATGAAAAGTCAGTCTAAGTCCACAGCCAGCATTGCTCTGTGAGGAATGAACAATCTGGTTATTACTGACCACATAAGCTGAGCGATGACCTGCTCCTTGCTTGGGTGCAGCACCAGGCTCACACACTGACTGATAATCGTAAGATTTGTTAAAAGCATACACCGATATATTAATCAGGTGTCTCATCAAACTTGGATCAATCTCTCCAAAAAATCTTCCGATCTGGTATAGAAAAAAAATTAACGAAGATTCAAATTTAAGGCAGTGAAGAAATATATACATAATGAAATTGGATTAAATCTCCTTTGGAGCTTAAAAACAAGAGCAATTAATAAGCCCATATATGTGACATTCCCAATGAACTCAAATAATACAAGGTGATCTCATTCCTCAGTGCCTCTGGGTGATATTTGTGGAAGGAAAGCACCGGGTTTGCTAGCACTCAGGTCATAATCAAATGCCTCCTGGGGAAGAGAAAAGTAGTGAAAATAGAGAAGTAAACGGAACTTGTAGAAACTGTCAATAAATGGAGCAAGTTCTATGGAAAGGGACTTACTGTAGCTTTACTTTAAAAAAAAAAAAAAAAAAAAAAAAAAAGAAAGAAAAGAAAAGAAAAGAAAAAGAAATCTAGCTAATCGACCACAGCCCATAAATGGTCAGTTAGCAAAACAGTATGAGGCTGTACTATTTGGATTTTTGTATTTTAGAGGAATGGGAAATGCATACTGAAAAATAAAAATTGTTGAACACTTACTTTAATTTGCATAAAACCTTATGTTGAGGCAAGAGATTATATGGTGCCAATTTGTAGCTAGAAATATGTCAAACCAGCCAAGAATAAGGTAGACATCATGAACAGATAAATACAGTATGAAAACTTCTGACATCTAAAATAAGTTTTATGAGATTAAACTCACTCATCCAATAAAGCTATATTTAGGATGCATTTTTCAATGGTTCAAGAGAGGTTTACAATTTTGACCAGATACAAATACTCCTCTTCCAATTCAGGCACCTACCTGGTTAGTATAATCATCATGATTGGCCATCAAAAGAAACCCACCGTCATCTAGAATCACACAATCCATCACCTATGAAAAAGGAAATAACAGTTAACACATTTGTAGGAAGGTTATTATCATTACTACATTGTATGTGGATGATTGTAAGAATAATAGAAAAATTCAAATAACTATATTTTCTTCTGAATATATATGCTCAGAAGATTCTCATGACATAAATCATGGGAATTGGTAAATTCATAGTAAACTGGGCTTCCTATGTTAAACCATCCATTCAGATAGAACTGTCAACTAACTATGGACAAATAAGAAATAATCTTTTTGTCACTCCACAGTTATCTAAATGATCGATGAAATCAAATAGACCAAAATATTTAATGTCTAATTTTTATTAAACAGATAAAGTTAAACAATTTTTAAAAATGTATTTTAGTAACCATGCTTCAGATAAATAAAAAGTAATATGAGGATGTTTACATTACATATTGAAAGTATTTGGTTGAATATTTTGAGATTTATAAGCACATCAAAAAATGACAGTGACTGGAGCAAAAGCGTATTAAATATAAATTCCCAGCTTAAATCAAATTTGACTGAATTAAATCAACTTTTTTTTTTGGTAAAATCACACTTAAAAAAATATTTTCATAGGAGAAATACACATTTCATTTTTCCAATCTGGAAGCACCTTGATAAAATCTCTTCTTAGAATTGTTTTTAGAGCAAATAGTCTGAATCTACATACTTTATAGAAACTGGTTAACCTGTGAAAATTAATTAAATTATTGCCTTGTACTTTTGCAGGACTAGGAGCAGAAACCTGGTATGTCTGTATTTACAAGGGAAGCAGGTAATTCATGAGGACTGGAAGAAACTAAAGGAATGCATTTTTCTTTTCATTCTTGGAAAGATAACATTTAGTACCATTCTTGGAGTAATTTAAAAACTTTTGAACAAACGAAAGTGCGAAAGATGATGGGGGAGAGCACTGATAATTAAAAAAAGTATCCTTTGCTCATAATTCCCCATTGAGGAATAGAGCTAAATATAAGTATCCACAAAACACTGGAACATTACTGAAATAGAAAAGAATACAGTCCATATTGCTATGACTTTTACTACTTTCCCATAATACCTGAATATTTTTAAAAATAGAAGCACTTAAAGTTTAGAATTAAAAGCATATAATGTGAATTGTCATCTGAGTTACTTCACAATACCATGGGACAATTAATAAAACTGTTCCAACTGCAAAAATTAAAGTTTCTGATAAATAAAACGACTCATCAATGTCTGCAATGGTTTAAAGGAGGTGTACAATGTTGATCAGGGACATGTATTTCTCTTCCATTTCAGATACAAACCTGGTTAATATAATCATCAGGATTTGCAATCAAAAGAAACTTACTCAGCATTTGATATGTTAGAGAACAACAAAATTATAGTTAAAAAGACATTTCTTACATCACTGTTTCTTTTGCAGTCACAAACTGGACCAGCACACTGAAAGATAGAAATACAATTTCACCTCACATTTTCTATAACATTGGATTTTAATTATAGCATATTATCTATTACCATGTTAGAGCTAGACATCTCAGACTAATTTACCTAGTATAAAAGACTAAATGATACTCTAGTGTACATAAAACAGTTTTCTTTACAATTAGAAAATAGCAATATATATTTAAGTATTTCAAATGACAACACTGATTTTTTTTTTAATACTAGTCTGAAAAAGAAAGAATTTGTAATTTTGCTTCAATGGCGTGGTACTGAGGTTTTATTTTGAATGCCTAATATTTTACTTTATTTGCATTTTGAGATTAAGTACTGAATTAGATTTTTAAAAAAAAAATTCTCTTACCGGATCTCTAATAGATGTTTTGGTGAAATTTTCGATCCAGGAATTTACATCAATTTTAATTCCAACAACTGAAAAATTGTGTAAGAAAGATTAATACATACATTTTAAAAGGTACTTATGAATCTTATCTTTCATATCAAATTAATTTAAAAGGCGCCTAGTTAGTTACAATAAAATATTTGCTACCTGATAATTTAGGCAACTTATCCAATGGCATTAAATTTGGGTTGATTACAATATTTATTACAGATATGTATTTCTTGACATTTTCATTAAGAAGTAATGCCAGTTCATTGGTCAACTAATACAATAAGCTTAAAAGAAAGTAATAGTGTCAGGAATAGTCTTATAAATATGAAGTCATTCAAGCAAACTGTTTAAAGAAGCTTCTTCCTTTCTCTTTTCCTGTCCAGTGTGTAAATAGGTGTTTAAAAAAAATTAGGAAGCAGGGAAAGATATGAGCAGTTGCATGAATGAAGAAAGCGACGAATGAGTTAGTAAGTGAAAGAGTAAATCTATGTAATTGAACCAATGAAGGTAAAAATACCCTCAGGAGCAGGAAGACAATTTATCTACCTTTTTTTTTTTTTTTAAGATATCAATGTAGCCCCATGTAACTCTTTTCCATAGACACATATTATGATAGAAACTTTTTAAAATATTCACAAAGTTCACCATATATTTCACAGGATAGATTTCTAGATAGGATTAATGATCAACATGGCATTTACAGCTTGAATACTCTGACTCCATAAATTTGTGGTAGCAATGTGTAAACTGAAGCTTCTTTAAAATATTCTCAACTCTCTATGGAATTAACTTTTTATCCCAATTTTACAGATAATTGTATTTCTTTTTTACACACATTTGACTTTAATTTGGTTGAGGCATTTTGATGGCCTTCCTGATAATGAATGCCAGTTAATATATTTTTAGGGCAGATATAATTTTCATCATGTATATGCATATAATATATATTATGCTTACCTGCAGGTTTAAGAAGTTTTCCTTGGATATATATTTCCACAGCTTTGCTTACCATGATGCCTGATTCATAAGCACCGGGTCCGCTTTCTAAAAACAAAAATTAAAATTCCTTTTACTAAATGCAAGTGGATAGTGTTTAATACACATAATAAAAATGTGTGTGATCTCTTCCTCTACATACTAGGTTAACTGGAGGTGAATGACTTAGCTTAACTGCACCTACTTCTGTAAATTAATGAACACATGCTAAATCTACTTTGTGATATTACCTGAAGTGAGGAAAGATTGATTTCAAATCCCTAAAACTGTCTTTTCACTTTATAAGATAGATGTCCCTAGACAGAACGCCAATATTCTGAAAAACTCCATTTCCCCAGTTTTGAACAAAGTATAAATACGTATCCTCACATATTGAAAGATTAAATCAGAAAATATAGGCTATTATTGTTTAAACTACATAACAAACTCATAATTACTCCATTTTAAATCATACACATTCCTCAAGATAATTTTATTTATGGAATGAGGGATTACCTACATGTGTTCCTGTGTCATGTTTGCCTGTAGGTAAGCTGTCTGTGATACATGACTGTTGCTTCCGTAGGCATTTTACCTACTCAACTAAATGAATGTTCCTATCTTTCCATTGTCTTAAATATTATACTTTTAATAATGACTATTCTGAGTAATGAACATAAAATATATTGATTTTGGGGGGAAAGCAAGTAGTACCCAAAATTAGCTTCTTAAAAAAGTAAGAATTGAGAAGGCTGAATTCCAAGACAATACTTACTGTTAAAGTAGGGAGCAGTGAAAACATAGTTATCATTATCTAGACTCCTTTTATAGAAGCTATCTTCGTATGTCTCTGGGTTTTCTTGCCAATTTTCTCCAGCCCTGAGGAGGAAACCACTCATCATTTGTTTCTTTAATCCACCTAATAACCAACTTTTCCTTTGTAGACATCATTAAACTTAACAGATATCCCTACATCTCAGGTATGTCTAAGGAAGCTGGTGGTAATGGCTAGCGTAACGGATTCTCATTATAAAGCACTATATCAGCACAGAATTAGATTAATGATCAGAAAAAGCTGGTTCCAATTTTCACTCTGCTATTCACTGATGTCAGTTAATATTAATAACCCTTGGTGCCTAACTAGCCCACATTACAGACTGTTCAAGATACACTGAGAAGATTCACAGAAGAACGGTGAAGGGCTATGCAAATATTGCCAATAGGCTACAATTGCCTTGATTTAACTAAGTTTATGATAACAAAGAGAAACATCTCTTGAAATCTCTTAAATTTTGAACTGTAAATGATAAGCAAAAATATCACTAATATATTTTTCAAAGAAATGGTGTCTTGCAATAATGTAAGTACTTTAAACAATGACGCCAATTTAATCACCAATTTCTTTGAAGAATGGCATCCTTATACAGTAATACTCAGATCCTTGGATTAGTGCTTGTAATGTACTGATTTTTATGCACATTATTTGAACTTACTCTTTTGGATAAACTCTGGTAATCCCGCCATCAGTCACAACAAACCGTGCTTTCACTCCCTTGCTGAAACAGAAAAACAGAAGTTTTTATTTAATTTATTCTCTGTAAAATATTTAAGTGTTGCTGATACAAAAGAAAGTAACTTCCTAAAAAAAGGAGCTTAATATAATTACCAAAAATCAAATATATCAATAATTGCAAAGCTACTTTTAAAATAGTCAAGAAATCTAAGAAGTAAGAATTTAAAGGGAGGAGAAGAATCTTAAGGAAGACATGTCACGGGAAATAATACCATCGTTGCCTTTTAAATATTGACCAGGAGATACCAGAGAGGACAGAGAAAATAGTAAGGCATACATCACATGTTGAACAGACAGTATGTGTATGGTAAAGCTACTAAAGAGTGAGTATTTGATGTAATAAAAAAGCAAAGGTAGAAACAACAGCAGTAAAGCTTCAAAGCCAAGCTTTGTAGAGTGAGAAGAACACAAGTGATCCTGACCTCCATGTTGGAGAGCTTCACCATCACAGTTAAGTTAGAAATGGTTTTTAAAAGTAAGATTCTTTTGAATCAATGTTTTTGTGTCCTTTGGGTAGATCCCTAGGAGTGGAATCGCTGGGTCAATTGGTAGCTCCAAAAAAGATAAACTCATGCCATTCACAGCAACATGGATGGAGCTAGAAGGAATTATGCTCAGTGAAATAAGCCAGAAGGAAAAAGAAAAATATTGGATAATTTCACTTATAAAAGGAATATAGGGGAACAAAATAAGACATTGCTGTAAAAACCAATAACAATACAAAGCCCAACAAAACAAAACCAGACAATTATAAACCAGAGAGATCCTGCAGGGGAGGAGGAGGGAGAGGGATCAGAGGGAGGGAGGGAGGGAGGAGCACAGGGGATTGTAGTGACGGTACACAGGTGCACTGGTGAAGGAAACTGTATGGGGACTACACCTGGGCGGGGGGGGGGGGAGCAAATATTGTTTAAAAATGAACAATGAGGGCCTCCCTGGTGGCATGGCACAGCGGTTGAGCGCTGGGTTGCCAAGCTGCCTGCAGCCTCTGCAGCGCCGATTCGATCCCCGGCCAGGCGAGGGTCCCACATGGCGCACAGCCTTCCTGTACTTCATCAGTCTGCCTGCTCTTCTCTCCCCTCTGGCTTTGATGAATTCTCTGACCCTCCCGTGCTTCTGACTGTACCCAGTGCTTGTATAAATTAAAAAAAAAAAAAAAATGAACAATGATGAAAAAATTAAGATCCTGAAACAAATGAGTTGTATGGAAAACAGATGGGGTACAACAGGGAGAGGAATGGGAACCATTGAAAGCAGAAAAATCAGTTGCCATAATTTCTTATAAATAGGAATGTAGGACCCTAAGTATGAAAACGAGATTGAAAATGCTAGAAGAACTATCAAGCATTTGGAATTAAGTGGAAATGGGGAGGCGAGGACTGCAAAAGGAGAGTAGTCAGCTTCCTCACTTTCCTAAGGGGTGCATGGCTATTAGATAACTGATACAAACCCCCTTATTTCATTTGCTCATTTACACTATTGTGTAAACCTGAGTAATGACAGATGTGAGGACATCTGACACACACCAAGAACTGAAAATGTAAGTGGTCAAAACCCGTAACATGATATTCTAAAGAAATTGTTATTAACAATATAAACTTTACATTTATGACACCTATTTTCCAAAACTTTCCCAGAGAGAAGATTAACTGAAGTGCTGACTGACTATATTTTTATTAAAAAGAAAAAATACTTACATATTTTTCTGCTTACTCCAGTAATTTTGTACAAGTTCACTAGTAAAACCTGCATCCAGCAAGACCCTATTAATCAAATCCGTGTTACCTAGTCCAGAAAAAGGATAGCTTCAATTACACTCACACAGTTGTTCTTTAATTAGGATAGTAATTAAACAAATACATTCTATTAATGACCATTTCCAAAAGCAATTTAGAATAGCTACTATTTCTATAAATTTAAGAAGGTATTCTTTGTTTTCTGCATGTTGTTTATCTTGCCTCAATTTTCAGGATATAATCAGAAGTAGCAGCAGAAAGGCCATTTCTAAATGAGACAAATCATTTTGTAAACTTTATCAAAAAGATACAAGAAATATGCCAATTAAGAAACAACTCTTTTTTGATGAGGGGGGGGGTGTAGATTAGTTTGGGAATTCCAAACCATTATTTCATAGACAATCTTTAAATCCAAACATACATATATACATATATATGTATATATGTATATATATATAAAATTACATTTCAAATATAACTTGTATTTTGTTTTGAACAAGGAACAGAATAACTTATCACTAGATTTATTCTAGGGCATGTTTTTAAAATCTAATAGTATTGGTGGAAAGGCTTCAGTTTGTCATTTCAGCTCCAACTCAAAGTCAGTGGAAGAGTAAATGACAAGGAACAACAGTCAATTAATACAAATTGTTACACAAATAGTTTTACCTTCCTTTTTTTCTGGCTCCTTTACTCTAACCTCATAAACCTCTAAAATAATATACAAGCAACCTCTAAAACCTCACTTATGATAAAAATTCATTTGATTCACATCAGGAATATATGGTCTTAATAATCCAATATAATATCGATGATGACTTATCTCTATCAGTACTACTATATTGAAACACTACTACATATTCCTGGGACCAGTTTCAGCTTTATCTCGGGAATGCCTATTACTTACCAATAGGAAAACCAATTAAAATATCAATGAAGGAGCTTTGGCTCAAAGTGAGCTCACATTGACCAGAAACACTGGAATCACCAACATGTAGGCATGATCAGTGTAGCCTGTGTGGCTCATGACAAGTTTTGAAAGCAACTCTTTGAAACCACTGGCTGTGTCTGAGGTGCTAAGTCATTATTTCTTATGAGATAAATTTAAATTTAGAGAGGCAACATTAAGAGTAGAGTTTTACTGAGAATGTTTTCTGAAAGAAAATATTATTTTTCCTATTTGACATTAACATTGGTTTATAACACTGTATGATTTAGGGGAACAGTTTCACACCTCCTCAGATATATGTTGCCACCTGAGTCTAGCATCCAAGCATCTACAGTCCTTTGCTATGTTTTTAAAAAGTGAAAGTAGGAAAGAGAAAAGGGAACAACGAGGTGGAAGGACATAGAGGAAAAAGGAAAAGAGAAATATAAAAATTTCCGTTATGCATACAGTTTTCTTTATTATCAAGCCACATTTTATGGCCACTATTGCCAACAAGTTGATTTTTCTCTTGTCCACAAATATTGCATTTTTATAATAGAGGATTTGGGGAAGAAAAATGTTTTACAATATTTTAAAAATCAGAGTATCAATATTGAAGCTTTATAGTAAGAATGATAGAAATTTCTCTGTAAGAGAAATATATATGCTGAAATTAACCACTTTAATTTCACATATATATTCCAACTTGATTTACTCTATAAAACAGGAAATTACAAATGCATTTTTTTTAAAATTGAAAGTTAGCTGTGATCAGAATGAATGTTTTGATCAATAGTTAACCATTAAACACAGACTTTCTTTACCACTTGTTTACATTCTATCCATATTAACACTTATTAAAGTGGAGGATATATGTAAATTGATGAAATCCTCCTCTAGTAAGAACAATGGAACAAAAAGCCTGCAATAGACCATTCAATATTAAACTTCCTACACTTGAGAGGCACAAAGGTAAGCATGTTCTATTTACATTTAAACATTTGCAAATATCTATTTATTTGACAGAAACAAAGTGAAGCCATAATTTCATATTAATGCATACTTACATGATGGGTTGTTTGGAGTTTTTCTATCAATAAACTCATTGAAATTTAACAGAAATTCAGTGTTGTTATCTGATATTTTAAGGTCATTACAGTAATCTCTGAAAAAAATTAGAATTACTAGGTTTTAAAATAAAAAATTATACAGGATAATCTAAGTATTGAAAACACTTTTGTTTTTTGCTCACTGTAAGATTTTACAACCCATTGAAATTCTTGTTACCTCCCATTTACTGATACCTATAATGGAACAATACTTGACAATAAGTGGTAAGGATTATAGATAACAAACACATTATAAGCATTTGGCTTCTGGACAGGGCTGCTCAATAGTGTTAAGGTTTATTCTTATTGCATACTATTATCATTGTATGCTGCAGATTCTCAGTTTTCATGCAGGAACTAAGACTTCCAAATTTAAGATTTTTTTCTCTGTAAATATCAATAATAAACCTATTAGAGGAATGTGGTAATTAGTGCACTAGGAAAAGAAACCCATCATATGTTAACATTTTATAAGAAATACAGTAGTTTTAAAAAACTTACTAGAAAATCATGAAATCCCTCTTAAATTCCTGACTTGACATAAGAAAAGTGTGACTGAATTCATTCAACTGCAAGATTTTGTTTTGACACATAAAATTTCTATCTTCCTATATAGATAGGGACTTGGAAAACAGGATTATTTTATTAGTCTTTTCAAATAATTGTCATTATTCTTGGAATGATAACACACCAAGACTTGATTATCCAAAATGTCTTGATAGTTACTTTTAATATGAAAGTTGAACAAGTGAACATTTTGTACTGTTACATTAAAATTCAATTAATTATCTTATACTTTGAAATACATCTTTTACCTGCAAATGATTTCATAGTATCTAACCTGATTATTTGGAAAACATGAATTATACAGATCTTCCAAATAATGACATGTTCTATTATACAATGTAGAACACCCATTAATTAACACCATTCCTCTTAATAATAAGTCTAAACCTATTGGGGAACTACCATGCTCACATAATGAACTCGGTGTGACTAAAATTCTAATTATTGTTGAAAATTTCAGATTCAGTCATTTGCAAAAAGGCTTTTAGTGTTTTTTTTTTCCCTTAAAGTAAAAGACACGCTTGATACCCATCAATTTGACAGACATTTTCTCAAAAAACTAACTGAATGACCATTGTTTATCTGTCACTTTTAAGTAAAGTACTTCATGAAAACAAGCACCTTGTGTCCTCAAGTCAAACCACAGAGCTCTACTTAGCAAAAACTAAGTTTCTCTGTTCAATAGTAAAACTACCATTGCACAATTTGTTTTATATATATATATATATATATTTATATATATATATATGTATATATATATATATATACACACACACACACACACACACATATATATACTCAAAAATATATGTAGTATACATATATACTCAAAGGTAAAACTTAAATAATTTTCACCACTTCACTCAAGCTATTTTAAAGTAAAACCATTTTCCATTTTCCTCTGTCTTTGGATACCTGGCAATGAACCCTGCAAAGATCACTAACAAGTACTCTGTTGTCTCTGCCCTGATTCAGTTCACCTTGCTTTTGTACTGTCAGGGCAAATGGCAATATGATGAAAAATATACCATCATTTAAAACTGTTAGGAAAATAACTTTGACCTGTGGGTTCTATTGGCAACTACAATTGTTTAGGTGAGACAAGGCAATGGACAGTGCTAGCATAAGGACAGCAGAGGCTGATGGTCTAGAAGACAGTTATCAAGTGGTGGGAGCCAAGAGAACTAACAGGTGTCAAGATTGATCATTTGAGGTGTCAAGATTGATCATTGTGACAACTTAAAATAGCTCTCCAAAGGCCAAATATTTAGGAAATACTGAATTTTGAGCTCATCTCTTAGGTTCCATAAACATAAATATCTCCTATCAAAATGATTAGGGTACATATAAAGATTAAAAATACATATACTGTATGATCCTACATTGTGATGCAATGTCACAAAGTTACATACTATGTCTATTTCATTTCCAGATGTTACAGTCATCCTGTAGATTTGAGAACCATCACCCCTAATAGTAGAAAGGAGAACATGGGTTTCTGTTTCATTTTTAAACTCATAAGAGGAGAAGGGGAGGAGCCTGATCCAGCACCCTCATGTAAGTGACCTGCAGATGAAAGGAAGTCCTTGAAGCAGACTGCATATGTACTTGTGGGACAGAAGAAAATCAAATTGTGTGCTTCCCAGCAGGAGGAGGCAGAGTGTCAGAAGATGTCATCAGCAGTGTCAGTCGACAGAGAAGATGCTCAAGGGCAGAGTCACTTACAAAAAGCCAGGAGTATTTTTTGTGATCAGAGATTTTGCAAAAGTTATCTATAGTCCCAATTTTCAAGAAGAAACAAAATTCAGATATTCTTATGCAGAAGGAAGAGTAACTCATACCAAGTTTAAAGAGTCATTTTTGTGTTCTTAATCTTATTAAGAAGTGTGCAATGTGAGGGCCTCCAAGTGGCTCAGTGGATTGAGCACTGCGCTGTGAAGCTGTCTGCAGCCTCTGCAGCACAGGTTTGATTCCTGGCCAGGGAGACATCCACATGGCCCGGCAGACCTCTCCTGTCTCACCTGCTGCTCCCTTCAGCAGTGCTTTCGGTTCTTCTGCCTGTTATGCTCCCTGCTCTGTCTCTAGTGAATCCTCTTACCCTCCCGCACCTCTGGCCTGTACCCCAGCTCTTGTATAAATAAATCAATCTTAAAAAAAAAAAAAAAACTCTCTAAAAAAAAAAAGTGTGAAATGTGAAGTTAAAATTACAAATTTTGAATCTACTCTCTTTAACCACTTAGCGTTACCTTAATAATTTACAATAATTTGAATATTTGTCTGCTACAGATAATTAAAAATAGAGCAAAGAAATTAAAATACAGAGTACTTTTGGGTTACTAACTGGTTAAGATAGGGAACAGAGATGTATATTAGGATTATTACAAAGGGGGATTATATGGGAGAAAAGTAAAATGGGGTAGAAGGAAAAATAATGTTATTAAAGTTTCCCAGAAAGTTTAGTTAGTATTTAAAAAATCCATTATGAGATTAAAACACTCTAGCTTTATATACACATATATTTCCATGTGTGTATATATGTATATGTATACAGAATAACATAAACAGAATGTTTTGTGTATACTCAAATGCATAAATCATTATTGCTGGATGCACTGTTATTTCCAATAAAATCAAAGACTGTATCTGCCTTATTCACTATTGCTTCTCCAAGCCAGCACACAACAATTACTGATGTTGTTCAGTAATTACCTTATTGACCTTACTGAATAAATGAACAGGATTCTGTTTCAGTTTTAAAGTTACTGATCACTTTGATTCCTAACATAGCATGGCGCTAACCCAGAGCAGTCTTGGCGCTTACTCAGAACTATTACTGAAGGCACTTATATATAAGCTATCATCAAACAAGAGAAAACCAAACCAACCTTGGTGCTATAAATGTATAGCCAGATTCTTCAAAATTATCAGGCTTCAGTGTTTCTGAATCTGCAAAGATAATGGTACAAGATTAAACAATCCAGAATATATGCACTGAGAATCTATGATAAAAAAGATACTAGGATAATAACCTTGTAAGAAAAATTAAACTCTCTTCTAAAATGAAAAACAATTAAGATCCTTAATACTTCACAATATAATAAAATTCATTTTAATTTCATAAAATGGACTCGAGATTTGTATCAGACAAAATGTTGTCTATACATTTCCTATTTTCTTATCCTACCATAACCAGGTTAGCTTTTAAAAATGTATTTATAGGGCCTCCCCGGTGGCGCAGCGGTTGAGCGCTGGGTTGCGAAGCTGCCTGCAGCCTCTGCAGCGCCGGTTTGATCCCCGGCTACTCCCCGGCCACCGGAGGAGGGTCCCACATGGCGCGCAGACCTCTCCTGCCGCCCGCTGCTCCCCTCAGCAGTGTACTTTGGTCCTTCTGCCTGCTCTGCTCCCCGCTCTGGCTCTGGTGAATTCTCTCACCCTCCCGCGCTTCTGACTGTACCCCAGTACTTGTATAAATAAATAAATAAATCTTTTAAAAAAATTGTATTTATATTCATGTCACATCAGAATTACTTAATTTGAAATATCAACATATGCATTTTACCAATATCATGGTAAATAAAATGTTTTTCATAAGCCATTAATGCCTTTAGTGAATTAGTAACATTCTTCATGTTAGGTGTGAATTAGTAAGGGATAATAACACACATCTAAGCTCAAGAAAAAAAAAAATTGACTGTGAAACAGGTTCCATATGAAAACACAAGCATTCTTTTCCCCTTTTTTTTGCTGTTAAGATTTGAGCAATCATGGAGGAAAATCTAGCAAATGAGAAGCACAGAGGATAATATCCAATAGGAATGGAAATATCAGTGGAAATGTCAAGTGTACTAAACAACGAAATTGAGCAACAAGAAAATACTTGCCCTTCATTTTGCCCTTTTTTGCTGTGAAAATCCATCAGAAAGAGAAAGCAGGGAAACAAAAAAAAAAGAGGGTAAAGCAAAGGGGGTCACAAACAATATTTTATTCAATGACTTTCTTGAATAAAAATATTGTGCATAGATCAGAGGTTTATTTATGTACAGCTGTAGTCTGGAAAAAAAAAGACATTTTTGAAGACTGGAAAGAATGTCCTGTCAATTAGAACTAGAGTACCTTCTCTGTACTGTGGTTATTTCAAGGGTCTATTTTGCAAAGTGGTTAATGCAGGTGCAATATCAATGCTGTTAGCCTATAAACAAGCATTTACCAGTCATCAAACTCCTACTAATCATGCCCTCATTTATAAAGTGAACTAGCTCATGCAAAGTTGCCGACTGTTAAAAGACCATCATATCTATCTATCAAATGAAAGTGGAAATATAAATATATGAAATAGTACAATGTGCTGTGAGAACATGGCCCACGGACAGCAAGACATCACTGACAGAGAAATGAAAGAAACTGTAGTTTACTTAAGTTCAGATGGAAAAGGTAAATAAATATATATGTATTTATTTTTACTTTGTCAAAACGAGAAAAAATTTTGGCTGTTACTAATTGAGTGAAGTGCAAAGGATATGATGGTCATTTTACTTTACTACATCTAGTCACCCAAAACAAAAGTAAGATTAATAATGACCTGAAATATGCACTAGTGTTAATAATTCCTCCACATTCCAAATGATGCTTTAAAAATAATCCATTTGAGTTACTGAAGACATTAATTTGGATTATGAGAAGTGAATTGCCAAACCAAAGCCAAAGACCAGTGCATTTAATTTATTCAAACAAAGTAGAAGATGTGGAGCACAATATTATTCTTGCCAAATGCAAAAGAAAGAAAAAGAAAAGTTAAAGGTTCACTAGCACAGTGCCATGAGTAAGACTATGTGAAACATTTGTGCCGGCGAGCAGATCCTTCAAATGACAGCAACAGAGGACAAAGCATTGCAATGATTCTATGAGCACAAAGCAAGCAGGGGAGCATGGTGGGGACTGCCAGTGAGACTGGAGTACCTGCTCATATTCTATCCAGGTAGAATATTTCTTGTTCCTTGCATGTTTGGAATGGGTTAGAATCATTGCTGTAGATTTGGTAGTAACACCTACTAAATGTACAAAGCCTTGGGTATTCCAAAATCTAGACGTTTTTAAACATCTGATGTTAGGAGATAACAAATAGACCCTGAAGTTGCTTTCACAGTACTTACATCTGGCCTGAGTTATTGTCTCTTCTATTTTGGCTTTTATATAGTAAAAACTGTAGGTTGGTAATACCAAGGCCAAACTGCAATAGAAACAAGAGAAGCATAAACACAAACAAACAAAAATGAAACATAACTTAAAAAAAAAAAAAAGACACATCAAGTTCATGGAAAATCCAAAGATCTTCCTTGTGGGAAGGAAAAGACATATTACTTTGACAAAAAAAAAAATGTATTCAGCAAATAGAGTACTTAATTCCATCTTTCCACCCAGCGTCATCCAGTTCTCTACATTATAGGCAATCAGAAAAGATACATGGAAAATAAGCTACTAAATGAGCCTATAAATTGGCCAAGAAATAAATGTCTGCCAGAGAAGTGTATTATTAAATTACTTTTTGAGTGTTGACTAGGAAGAAAACGAAGGGTATGTTTAAACAAAGTAATGTATTACACCAATTGAATGGCCTTCCTCAAAGAAATCCATGTAGTTTTAATATGTTGTGTGGCAAATGCACATTATGAAAAAATTACAAATGTAATAATTATCATTTATCTTACATAAAGCATAAAATTATCTGAGACATACTCTTTTGAGTGGTTCAATAACTACTATATTAAATACACTTTTAAGCGATAAAATACCTATTTTTATATGACACCCACTAATTTAAATACCTAATCTTTAGGCAAGTTCCTAGTGGGAAAAATCAGATTCCTTTATAATATTAACAAAGACATCCTGATCATTCCATTGGTTCTTATCCAATAATGTAAGATATCGGCATATTTTAATATTATGCAGTTTCCAGTAACACAACTAAATATATGTAATTTTGCTACTGTCACAGAGGCTAATATACATAAGTAGAACTAAATATTCCATGTTCACATCTACAGTTCCAAATAACCTTTGCTATGCTTTCACTACAGCAGGATGGTTATGAACTATGGGTACTAAAGTGGGCATATCTCTAAGATTCCCAAAGCAATTATTTCCATAAGTGATACTGGATTACTATCACCAATTAAGTCAGTTGACATTCACTTCTAAAATTTAATCTCAAATTCAGCAATAAACAGGAAGTGGTGTACATTTCATTTCCGGACTTCTAAGTATTTTTAGATATTTGCACATCTTTTAGATCACTCAAATCTCATGTTTCCTAGGCTTTTGGGATGAATATGCCAGCTGTAATTTCATTCATTCTCTCTATATATTTTTATTACATGTATAACACAGAGTAGGATAAAATGTAAAATTTCAAGTGTTATTTCTTATAAATATACCTTAAAATTCACTCTTTGAAGAGGAAAGTGCAGTGGTTATTTGCTACAATTTAATTGTGTGATCAAGATAGCAAAATGAGTGGTTGCTTGTTACCTCCAATTCCCAAACCTTTTTTCACCATTAAGGAATTCATAGATTTTCCTTACTGGGCAGGGCCAGAAAAATAAAATATTACACATGTTTAACGAAATATTTCCACATTAATTTTATAGGTTAACTTTTAAGTGGAAGCAGAGATTAAAATTAAAGTGAGCAGTGCAATTAGTCTGGAAGCAAGATAACTTTCATGATTCACTTGCCATTTATAAAATGGAGAGCGAATTAGTGAGCATTGAAGACTGTGTCCTATAAATTCCGCTCAAGGGAAATAGGGCATTTTTCACTGTGCCATCAGCTTTATTGCTAAGAGAAACTTCTAATTAAAACCAGTAACATTATGTTGCTGCTACAGTGTCACTCTGTAAGCTTGGATTACAAGTCATCTACCATAAATAGAAGAGTGGAAGCTCCTAAGGGACACAATAGAACTTTTCAAATGGACTTATCAAATACGCATTTATTGGCCCGTGAGCCTCAGGTTATTAATAGCTATGCTCCACTATATGGAAAAATACATTTACACTTAATCACTTCTACCTCAAGGACAAGAAGTTATTTCTTCTCCCTATAGAAGATAACATCTTTACCAACATTCCTAGTCAAGGATGCTGTCATATGTACTGTTTGCTATCTCTCTTTCCATATAAAACCAACAAACTAAGTCTGCTTTATTCTCTCCTGGAGATTAAAGTCCAATAAAGCCAGTGGTCACCATATGAATGGTAGAGAACATGCAATGTTTTTGAAACTCATAAAATAAACATGGTTAACTCAAATGTAATACAAAACACTTTTCAACTCAATCATTAATCACTATAAAATCAAACAATTCATTGGAAAACAGTGCTTCCTATTAAAGTAATTATTTACTATATTTGAAAATGTGGGACAAGTTACATCAACATTCAGGTAGACAGACATGACTAAATGAAATTTGGGACCTCATTCATTAAATCAAAACATGTCTTTTTCCCCCCACTTATATCTTATTCTAAACTATCATTTCATTTGCATTGATTTAGGGGAGTATTCATAATGTAAGTGGGTTTAATCTGATTTAAATTTGTACATTTGAAAATGAAATGTGTGAGAAATATCTGCCAAAGTGGGGAGACAGGATATGTTCGGGGACAATAATTTATTGTGGGGAGGACAGTAAGAAAAATGACAGGACAGACAGATTAGGTTCAAAATGTGTGATGTGAATATTAGACTGAAAGGCCACACTTACCTGGAATGAAAATGGAGAGACTAAATTTTGTAAAAAGAATGACATACTTAAAACTGGAGAAAAGAACATTCATCTGGCCACACTCTGTATGGTGAGTGGGTGTGTGAAGAAAGGGGTTAAAGGTAGGAGTTTGAATATAGAAACTATTACAAACATATTTACGTAGGATTTAGTGAGAATTAAAATACCCCCAACTGTATGACTGCAACCGGTCCAGCCATCACTGCTGATTCACTGTCAGCATCAAAAGGATCCAGTTTGTCTAACATAGAATTTGTTCATCTAAGAAACAAAGGCACAGAGCACATCGCTGGGGAATGCATCTAATATTCCGTTTCATCATGCAATCATTCCCAAAGAGACAGGCCTCCCAGATTACTTCCTCTTCCCTATCATACCTTTTGAACAGTTTGTTCCCCACCAAAAGTGGGCGGTAATAATCACAGAAGCAGAAGGGGAAAATATCATGTGTGTATGTATACATAAAGATGGTGTATGTGTCAGGAGATGTCTAATTGAAATAGGAAAAAAAAATCAAAAGAAACATGTAAGAAATTAAAACAGTTCTGATGTTTATCTATAGGCTTAAAAGGATATCAAAAACACAAAAATGGAGAAAGGCAGACAGAAATCTATCATGATGTTAAATATATTCTCCTCTTCTATGTCTATTTTACTGGGTTGTCAGAAGAATTATGACACAGTTTTCCTGTATTTCTTACAAGAAAAAAACATTATGACTTTTCCGAGAACCAAATATATGATATCCTAGGAACCCAGAAAAGAATAGTTTTCTATGACAACGATATTACAGCTATGGGGAAATCTCTACCAATCTAGGCTGCCCCTGAAAGGTTATATGCATTTAACAGGTGGGTATGAAGGTGTGTGTGTGTGTGGGGGGGGGGGGGGTTGTAGGTTGAGCCTACCACAGTCTATTAATCAAGCTATATATTAACTCTATATTAACATGTAGACAAAGATTCCTTTATACTTGAATATTTCACTGTAAGTTTGGACACCACGATTTGAATTTGACAGGACAAATTGAAATTCAAGTGTTTCATTCTGCAAATATTTATAAAATGTCTACTCTTTGCCACTACTTTACATGCTGGGGATTCAAATTTAAAAGTTAATAAAGTAAGCAATAATTTATAATCTAACAACTTCAGAACCTAGCGCTTTTCAAATTTATTAATGAAGGAACACAACCAACCACAGAATTAAATTTCTGTATATTTGCTCACTCTCTCTCACTGCGTGTGTTTGTTTGTGTGTGTAAAATGTCAAATGATGATGAGGGTTAGACAGTACTAAGGAGAGAAATGAGTGTGATGAAGCACTTTACATTTTAAATAGAATTGTTGGGGACGGTTTTACTGAGGAATTGGAAAGGAAACAAAGTCACAAAGAAGATGAAGAGTGAGAATGTAAAAATCTGGGGAAAAGTAATTCAAGGTAGGAATAACTTCAGGTGCAAAGTCCCTGGGGTAGAAGTGTATCAAGTGTTTGTGTATCAAGTTTTATTATGATGAGTAGCAAGGTAGGAAGTGTAGCTTCAGCTGAAGATGTTCATTGGAGAATATGGAAGACAAATTCAAAAGTTGCTGTGGTCAGATACTAGAGGCTTCTGATGACTTTGAAAACCTTGCCTTTTACAGTAAATAAGATTAAAAAATTATTAGACACTATGAGTAAAGACATTAAATAGTCTAATTCAAGTTTTAGTCAGATCACTTATTGTGTTGAGGTAGGAGAGAAGATAGAGATGTAAATGATTATATTCTGTGGTGGTGGGAAGTCACTTCTAATCATTTCTAATTTTTCAGTGAAATAGCAAGTAAATACATAACCTGAGACAAAAATGGATAGGATAAGGTTACAGGTTGGAAGAGAGATGCTATCAAAAGTCATCCAGGAGTATCGTAACTTAATTGGATTACTGCAATCACAAACACCCATCAATATTAGAGGCCATGAATTTAGGAGGTGATCCATCACTCATGGAGTTCCTAATTTCACCCATTTGTAGCTGTGTAGATGCAGCTATGTGATGTTTGTAATAATGTGATTTTAACCGGGACTTGGGTTAGCCACAGTGCTGTTTGCTACATCAAAGTATGATGAAGGGAGCTGATGGTATGTACAAGACAGTGAGTGCAGTGAGAACGAAGGAAGATATGTGTGATAAAAAAGGGTCTCAAAGACACACAGAGGGAGAGTAGTGGGTCTGATGCACTTCAAGTCTCAGCTGAGTCAAAGGATTGTTGGGTTTGGGCTACCAGTCAAAGGATTGTTGGGAAGGGATGGTAAGACTGAATTGTGTACTGAGAGCTGTATGACAAAAATCTTATCTATTAGTTATATTCTTAACATTCTAAGAGCTGCAAAATATGTCTGGGGCATAGGTAGCTAAGATAAGGGAAATTCTACCATTGGAGGACTGGAGATTAAAAAAATAATAAACCCTGATATCATATGTCAGTGTCTCTTAGGTAGTCCAAAGACCTGGCCCATTTGTAAACTATTAACAATTTACAACCAGTTAAGTAGAGAAAATGAGACTAAACATGTTGAAGTTTTACAGCAATTTCATATACTAATTTTATGCCTGTGAAATCCAGTAACAAAAACTTTAAGCTTGAATTTTTATCTTTCAAAGTTTACTTTAAATACAATTTTTGTTTTATTTTATGTCATAAATAGTGTGAAAACAGTGATCTATGTTTGACAGTGAGCCAGGAACTGAAACATACAGAATTGATGTGGGGAATGACTGTTCAAAAGAAAGAATGGTGGGCAGTGTAGTGGTGGAATAAGATCAAAAGATGGGGACTTTAGGGAGAAGGAACAACAAAGGAGTTATAAAAAGGACATACTCAGTATACACAGAGTCATGTATGTGGGAAGCAGAACCATGGGGAAAATGTGAGAAAATTCTCAGAGAAAAGTTAGAGGGAGAAGGCGACAAGGTGATGGAACGCTCAGTTAATGTTGAAGAATGGAGATTCTCCAAGAGATTACAGGGTATTATTAGCCTGCTGAATTTTCCAAAGTCCAGTCCATTGAAGATATCAGGATATTGTATTTTATCAAGAACATTTTATATCCAGTTACACTATGAAGGGATAACTTTTATTTTTAAGTTAATTTGCAACCAAATGTAAGCAGTATCAAGTAAACGACAATTTGAGTGAGGACATCAGTGGAGGTGGTCACTGCAAATCACTAAGCGGATTTTGTCAACATTCATTATTATTAACATAAATATACAAAATACCAAATAGATTTGTATCACTTACATTTTTATTCCAAATTTTATATTGTTGGCTTTTCTCCATTTTGAAAATCAGAACCTTTAACTTTAGTATATTTAATGCTGCAATGTCTGTTTTCGTTTTAATTACATTGAAAATAGCTTACGAAAATGCAAAGATGTAATTAATATTCATCTTTTGAGAATATGACAATCAACCAAATAACTCTTTTATATAGTATATATGTAAATATAGTGATTACCTGTAATCTGTACCATTGACAGGCGTCCATGTGTATGTCCGGTTTCCTTTGTCAATATATCTCTAGGAAAAAAAATTTATATTCTTATATTCTATGTGAAGAGAAAACCATTAGGATCCACTTACAAATAATGTAGTCATTCAGTGTCTTTCGTTACAAATGCTTGTTCTACTCTGTCCACATTTATATATTCTATTCTCTTGTGTTTGTGTGTCTATGATTTTAGGTCAAAAATACACATCCGGGCCTCCCAGGTGGCGCAGCGGTTGAGCGCTGGGTTGCGAAGCTGCCCGCAGCCTCTGCGGCGCCGGTTCGATCCCCGGCTGCTCCCCAGCCACCGGAGGAGGGTCCCACATGGCGCGCAGACCTCTCCTGCCGCCCGCTGCTCCCCTCAGCAGTGTACTTCGGTCCTTCTGCCTGCTCTGCTCCCCTCTCTGGCTCTGGTGAATTCTCTCACCCTCCCGCGCTTCTGACTGTACCCAGTGCATGTATAAACAAAACAAACAAACAAATAAATAAAATAAAACATGCCTCTAAAAAAAAAAAACAAAAACAAAAATACACATCCACGTAGTAAATTTTACACTTAAAAGTGCAACACCTTAGCCACTTATGCAGTCATTAACTTAAATACTTTGAAAGTGACATTTCTTGAAAAATATTTTTTAACAATAAAACAGAACTATAAAATATTAGATAATACCACACAAGCATAAATTTAAGGGAAATTCTTAATTTCAGGAAGTTAATGCAGTCAGTGTATCTAAATCCAAAGGTACGATTAGCATATTCTTATTAAGAATTACTAAGACATTATTATAGTATTTATCTATCATAAGAAAGACTAATTAGTATTACTGAAGTTACAAAAACAATGTAAGAACTGGGGAAATGAAGTACTGACCTAAACTTTTGGGTGCAAGATCTTCCTACACCGCTCTAAACACTATTAAAGGAACGGCCATTCTTTCTTCCATGTATTATGCTGGCATATATACATCTTTCAAAATTTTACTTTTATCCAGCTACATCAACTTTATCAGAATAACACTGACTGAAGAACTACTGAATATCACTTTATACCTGTGTTAGGCAATACACTATTTTACTCATTGTCTTGTTTAATTGATCCCTAAGGTAAATACTACTTTCCACAATTTGGTATCATTAAGAACATTTAAATTGGCAGGATGAGGGGAAAAATGTATGATGCCAATTCACTTTCTAATAACTCTACAACTTTGCCTCTATGATATGTCAAACATCTATCTCTGTGGCTCTAGGTGCACAGAGGATGGGGAAAAGCAAATAGGAAGGAATGAGGAGGGCTTTGGACTACTGAGATTCTTAAGAGAATTACAGAAAATGCTGCTATATTTTGATGTATTTGTTACTGTTAAAAAAAAAAAAAATCAAGGGGCCTCCCTGGTTGCATAGGGGTTAACTCTCAACACTATAGCTGCAAAGGCCTTGCTTAGATCCCTGGACAGGGAGCTGACCCACATGGCGCAGCAGACCTCTCCTGTCTCACCCGCTGCTCTCCTGAGCAGTGTATTTCAGTAGATCTACCACTTGTTCTGCTCCCCACTCTGTCTGGTGAATCTTCTCACTCCCCTACACCTCTGGGCCTACAACCCAGTTTTTGTATGCATAAATAAATAAACTATAAACCTTAAAAAAAAAGATACCAAGGCAAACTAGTGTTGTTCAGTCGGTATAAGAAATAGTATTAACAATATTATCAAATGAAGGAAATAAACATAGCAGGTTTTTTTTTTTTTTTTTTTTTTTTTAGTATGATTACTAGAAAAAGTCCACAGGTGGAGGAACCAAAGAAAACTGAGAAAAAACTTAATGGGCACAAAATTACTTTTTAAGTGAAGGAAGAATGTGGAGGTAATTATTCTATGGAAGACTATTTTGACATTTATCCTAATGTTATAAAGGAACTCTGACTAGAAATGGCTGTCAAAATTATGTGGCATTGTATTTTTAACAGTGAAGTCTCGGTGATAACCCAATGCAGTTTAAAGAAAGAATAAACTGTATAAAATAAAGTGGGGTATCAGAAACTTTAGAAAATTATTTTAGCATGTCTTTTAGGTTTCCATTCAATAAAGACAAATCCTTTCCTACAAATCCAACTGTCCAAAAGGCAATACATTTTGGTAGTTGTACAACCCAGTTTCATTACAATTAGAAAAGTAGTTTCAGAGTATATTCTTTGTGACGACAATGATTTACGTATTTCATCTCATGAAATTTTTTTAAATGAGGAAAAGTAATTCTCAATGTATATTCATTCTGATTTTTTACTTTTTATAAAGCATATTAAAATTAAAAGACGAAAGAATGTATTAGAATCAGTTGTTATTGGTGGAACAATAGTGAACCTGGCAGGACTGCAGAATGGTTTATATCGTTCCTCTTAAGGGTGAGCGAGGAAACAGCATGGCTAACGTCTAAGAGGGCCAAGGTTCCAACAAAGACTGAAATAGATATGTATCTCTCCATGTGTTCATTCTCATTTAATTGATGAAATTAAATGAGGCTCTATGCTAAATACATAGATCCCAGCTTCATCTTAGAGAAAAATTTGCTGAGGATTTCGGGAGAAATATACACTTTTAAAAAGGAGAGGATAGTGAGGAAAAGGTTATGTGTAATGCTCAAATCAAATTTCCAGGGTCAAAGACTAGATTTTGCATGTGAGAGATTTTTTTTTAAAGGTTTATTTATGCATACAAGAGCTGGGGTACAGGCCAGAGGTATGGGGGTGGTGGCGAGAGTATTCACCAGAGACAGAGTGGGGAACAGAACAGGCAGACTGATGAAATACACTGCTGAGGGGAGCAGCGGGCGAGTCAGCAAAGGTCTGCCAGGCCACTTGGGTTGCTCCCTGGCTGGCCGGGAATCGAACTCATGCTGCAGTGGCTGTGAATTGCCTCATAGGTTGTGTCCTAACCCTTGCGCCATTGGGAGGCCCTCATGTGAGAGATTTTTACACACACACACATACACACACACAAATATATTGTCTATGTATTAACTCCATATGTGACTGATAATGGACAGACACTCCTTATATAGAGTTCTTTCATGTAAATATAAAACAATTAAATATATACTTGTACTAGAGATTGATGGGGGTGGTGGTTGCTATAAAATTCATTTGATTTCAGATCTAAATTGCAATGCAATTATAATATAAAGTGCATATTTAATAAGAGAATATGAATCATGCTGGAAGAAGTAAACAAAAAAACCACCAAAATAATATCTGAAACTCAATTAGAACATCTACACAAACTATATGATACATAGCTATTAAATATTAATTTCAAATTTGCATAATTTAAGTAGTCTAAAAGAACATGCATAAAATTACATTGTGTGCTCTATTTCTTATAATGATACAATAAGTAATCATTATATTTTCAAGAACATATTGCTAGTAAGACTGCATCAAAAAACCAAAATGCAACACTATTTTATAAAAAGAAGGAAAACAAATTAAAAATAACCTATTGAAAATAGACCTCCAGTTAAAAACAATTCTTTAAAAAATAGGAATTTACTTCCTTGAGATATTCCTGTCTTATAAGCAAATGTTGCTTTAACAGACAGTAAACTACCAAACTCTATTTTATTCATTCATTCATTTACAAATAAGTACAATGAATTATTACCTCATCTTGAGATTTAACCAGAGTTCTAAATGTTTTGTCTCCACTTTCTCCATCTATCATTTTATTTCGAATCTGAAAGAAAATGAATTTAGAAACAAGTATTTTATTATATGGACCCACCAAGAAATCATTAAAGTATGAAAACAAATGTTAGTTTTTTTAATTGTTTACCTTATTTTAGAACCTAACCTATGTTGTCAGGTTTGCACTTGTTCTCTAGGACCTATTTTCTTAAAACATGACATTATCCTTATTTTATATAATTTTAAAATACTAAGACATCCTTTAATAGTTTCATTAATTTTTTTAAGAATTATTTTATTTATGCCTACAAGAACTGGGGTGTAGGTCAGAGGTGCGGAGGGGTGAGGATTCACCAGAGACAGAGTAGGGAACAGAACAGGTGGAGCTACTAAAATACATGGTCAATTACTTCATGTGACTGAGTGGGGCAGACAGAGTTGAGAGAGAGTGAGTAATATTAGTGTAGTGACTCAGGGCATGAGAGTCCACAGAACTACTCTGGACTACCCATCTATAACGTCAAACACCTATAACAGCTATTGATCACCTAAAACATCTGAGAATTTTCAGTTCTAGGGGACTTACATTAAATAATTCTATTGTTCTACAATAATGTAAATGTGTAAATGTGCAAAGGACAAATTAAAACACCCTGTGGCAAGTTATAAAAAATATATAGTGTCCTTTGCATAGATAAGGAAACCATTTGAAAAATCTAAAAAAATCTCTGCCCTGGTGTGCAAAAACCTCCTTCAAATCCTGCTTCTGTTACTAGATGAATAAATGGAAACAAGCTTTTCAACGTACCAGTCACAAGAGATGTAATTACAATTAAAAAATGCCTATTTCAAAGGCTCTTGAATCAAAGACACATATCATGTACTTAACAGATATTAGTGCTATTGATATAATTATTCTATTACTACGAGAAATCCCCTCAGAGGAAGTGACACATGAGTGTGGTTCTGAAATAAAATAGAAACTATTTGAGGAAGTATAATATACAAATAAAGCAGCTCCTCTACCCACAGTGCTCACTGGGTGCCTGAAGTGGATTCATACAACTTTTCCTTCACTCCATAGCAATATCCATTACCTCCCCTTTATTTATTTTTTTATTTTTTTATTTGTAATTTACTTGTTATATTTAACCTAAAATAGTAACCCATGGAAGGAGAAAGAAAACAACTAAGGTCACACCCATATTAAAAAATGTTTTCCATTTCCTAAGTTATTTTGAATGAGAATGTCCAGAGTCTAGAAACTTGACAATATTCATTTTTGTGTACAGTAGCTAAAGGAAAGCATAACACAATGAAACTACTCAGCATACAGCTGTAGCATCAATGAATTCAAGCACTTGAACTGAGGGTATTTATTGTTTAGACTTGCTGATTACACTCACCTCCACTTTAATATCATTCTCTAATTCTGCATCAAGGAAATCCAATGTTACTGGCTCCTGAGATTTGGGGTTCTACACAGAAAATGATAATAATTAAGCATTTATGAATTATAAAATGATGTTATATATAAAGTGATTCAGTGGATATTTAAATACAAATTTAATTCCATAAAAGTTACTTACCTAAAGTGTATTAAATACCTGAAAAATTATATAAAGTCGTACTCTTTTATTTATATATAAAATAAGGTAGGGATTAAAATTCAAGAGCAACTGACAAATTTTAATCACCCACTGAAAACAGTCTCATTTTGAATGATATGTAACAAAATATATTTGTGATCACAAGTTCTGCAACATTATGATTTTTGAAGACCTGTTCACAATTTGCAAAAGGGGCAAAATACAGCCATAACTTTTGAGTTCGCTAGGTAAAACAAATTCTTCTGAACCTACTCTTCCTTCTTAAAAATTAGGAAAAATACATTATATATTAATAATTCAAGTTAAATCATTTGGTAACACAAACTTTGTGGTCATAGCATAAAGACTACATAGATTAGCTATTGTAATTGAAGTCTAACTAAAATAATAACCCCTGGGTTCACTGTTTCCCACTGTAACCTTTTTTATTCTTTCTTGCTGTTGTACAAAAATAAATAAAAACCACAGGGGCACAGAACAGATGCTTTAGATAATTACATCCAATGAAACTGTTAGCTTGGCAAACTTACCTCATAGGTAACAATTTTCAACTTTCTCAGTCATAACATGAAGACATATTGAACTACTTACTAAACAAAACTACACTGATTCTCTTAGAACACTCTCTTAGAACACTATTTAGAATGACTCAGAATTCCTAAGTCACTAGAACAATAAAATCATAAGTATCTAAAAAATCTTATGATTTTTTTAAAAACTGGATATTCTCTGCTTACTAAAATTATCCCACCAAAAATGGCAATTACTTAGACAGAAGTACTCAACATAATCTGTACTGACAATTAGTGACTGAAATTTTAACAACTTGAAATTCACCAATTTTTCCACGATATGTCTAGATCATAATTATCTTAAAAACCATTTTATGAGGACACACTACCCTATACAAAATGAATAAGACATTAAATGAAGATATTTCAAATGTTGTATGGCACAGTATATGGGACAAGTATATTTAATAATTATGACAAAAATCTCTCCTTTTAAAAAAGTGAATTCTATTTAAATAATGAAAGTTTATGATTCCCATGGGATGTGATCAGGAGAGATTCATAATAGCAAATTAAATACTCTCAATTGTGTCTCACATTTTTATTTCAAAAAGTTTCACAGATTTTGTGCACTCAACTTTTATACTTAGAAGATTCTATACTTCTGAAGGTATTAGACTGTTCAACAGGTGAGGATACTGACTATTGGATAGCACCTTAATGCCTCAGAAGCAAATATTCATTTTAAACGTAGCGTGTTTCTTATGAATGAAAAAATAAATATTGAAAATAACTCTAAACCTTTGTTCAAAACACAAAACTAAGATAATGGCTAACAAATGGATACCCTTGAGGATAATATAGTCAAAATGGCTTACTTAACGAATCTGCTAAAACAAAACATCTTCATACAAACACCATCATATCAGCATTAACATTTTAACACACTCACTGTAAAACAAAGTCAAAATAATCAAAATAAAAAAATAGAAACATAAATAAGTATTATCTTACATGCAATGGATAATGCATAGCATGACCACACCCAACCAGCATGCATGGAGGAGGCATTATCAGGAAGAATTGGCAATATGGAGATCATGTCCCAATCCAACATATAACGACACAGAGAAGAAAATGAAATCATAAAGGAAAACTGTCAATGCATAACTTCTAATTCCAAAACGGCAATCTAGCTGACCATTTTCAAAAGATCCACTATAGGAACAATGATTGAAAACTTCAAAACCAATATTTCTTAATACCATAAGAAAGCACCCAGCATGTTTGAGAACTAAGATCCAAGCTCCACTGGCAATACTTCCATTTGAGATTTTAAATATCTCACATTTCACACTTGCACAATTTAATTGTCAACTGATATAGCCATTACACCATTTGTGAACTAGTAACATACAGGGAGCAATGGTGATAAATTTTAAATTGATATACTCTGTAGTTAGTACTACCAGTATTACATTTCCAGAAATAATCCCCTCATTCAGAAGTTTTTTGTGGTTGCTAGTTTGCCATTTAGGGGTTCCACAGAAGGAAAATAAAAAGAAAACAAACCATTTTCAGGTTGTTTATTTTTAAATGGTATCACAATAAGTACATGCAATAATTGAAAGTACTGTAAAAATTCATTAAAATGTACATGACTGTAAAGTAAAATTTAATACACAAAAAAGAAACATGCAAAGAAACATAAGAAAATTCAATATGTCAAGAAAAGACAAATACAATTTTAATAACCTACAGGAATCATAAACTATATGAAAACTAATATAACATGAAATTCATACAATCATAGAATTGTACTGTTAGTACAAAACTATAGCTTCTACTAGTCTAGGGTCTCTGCACTTTAGAACAACCTAGAAAGCTTTAAAACTAGGGTCCAGGAAAATGAATAACTATAAGAAAGTGAAAATCAAAATCAACAAAAAACTATGAACCAGAGACACTCTATGGGGGGTGGGGGGAGGGGAGGGGAGGGATTGGGGCCAAAATAAGGGGGTTGCAATTGTATGGGAAATATAAAAAAATTTATTAAAAAAAAAAGGAAAAAAATAAAACTATTGAGACATTTGGGCCTTATCCCTAGCCAAACTGTATCAGAATTTTCAAAACATGGCTAGGAGGCGGGGAGGAAAAAAGAGAAGGTATGAAGGGTCTATCTATTCTAGTATGTAATGTAGAAAATAATGATTACTTTAATTTGCCTGCTTTGAATAATAAACTAAAGTAATATGGGATTTTGAGAACTACTCAAGGATACGATGTTGGCTATCAGTAGAACCCAAGAAGAATGTGGTTCTAATCCATAGAACTCAAACTCAGTGATTTCTTAATATCATAGAACCACTCCATTATAACCGCACCAATTTCTTAAGAAATGATAAGATTATATAAGAGTATATATTTAAAACCTTAAATCATATTGACCTTTCTTTACAATCTGAAATTTTCTTAAACTATACTGAACGATAAGAAATCGTCTTCTGGGGCTGATTATTTTTAGTGTGCTTATAGAAATGTACTTACATAAAATTACATTTAAATTCTGTTGTCAAAATGAATAACTATAAGAAAGTGAAAATCAAAATCAACAAAAAACTATGAACCAGAGACACTCTATGGCGGGTAGAGGGCGGGAGGGGAGGGATTGGGGTCAAAATAAGGGGGTTGCAATTGTATGGGGAATATAAAAATAAAATTTATTATAAAAAAATAAAATAAAATAAATTATGTTGTCAACAACAACAAAAAAAAACTTTGCAATGTGCTTTTCAGGCAATAAAGAGGGAGCACAATAAACTAGGGGAGAGGACTATGGGTGTTTTGAAGATGGGTGTGGTGTGGTAACAACGCATGAAGAGGGCCATCCTACACCTCTAAATCACAAACACCACTGTAAATCATTGTTACTCAAAACAAAAATTTACAATACTTAGTTTTAATTTTGGACTTTTTCAAACTAAAAGCAAATTTCTTTGCTTCTACTCCATAACTTTAGAAATTTTGACTTTAAGCTCTGTGGTTTATAGAAATGATCACAACAGAATTTTATTTTTATTTCCATTTTGAAGTTGATTTTATAAGCAAGTTGGTAGGATTACATGGATTTGACATTAATTTTACGTTACTTCATTTGTATTTATGTTACTTCATTTGTATTTATCTCATTATGATTACTCTGATCATTAACATGATTACTACATAATTTGCTAGCAATCTTTGGTTAGAAAATGCATACCCACTGCCATCATTAATAGCATTTTGCTGCAGCTTATTGAGAAATATGCCCATCTCTACCTCATGCTCTGAAAGCCTGATGTCATGAAAGGCAGCATTAATCATATGCTTTTAGGAAGAGAAGCTTAATATCAATTCTGATTTAGCAAATATGAAGGCTCTGCTAATGTCATTCACAATTACCTGAACATTGGGTCTCCTTTTTCTGAAATTAATTGTTGGTATACCTACACCAATAGGCTAAAGCAACAAAAAGATGGTAAATCATCATACTACCTGGCAGCAAATGGTAAGGAGGAGTCTAGCCTATATTCACTACTGGTCAGATATATCTTTGATCAGAAACAGGGGACAGAGCTCATGATGAATCAGTAAATAAACAGTATAAATACAGGTTTAGAGAATATCAAAATGTTATTCTAGTAAATAAACTAAAAAATTAGCAAAATGACAGTATTTTCCTTTTTTCTTTAAAAAGTACACAAGGGAAGTGCAATATTTGGATGATGTCAGGAAATTTTAATGCTGATTCAACAAAAAAGAAAAAAATAGGAATTTTTAGAAATATCATTATATTCAATTGAATTTAAATATTAAAATTATAACATATTACAAATTCTTAATCTTAAATCCTTGCATTTGTGCCTTTACTGATTTTCTGCAGTGATATCAAATGCTAAGTCTATGGAGTTAGTGGAGATTTCAACTATATCACTGTAAACTTATTTTAAACACTGACTTTTAAAATGAAGATTATGCACAATTTTCTGTTGAATAGATATTCCTTGCATTGATTCATAGGCGAGATATAGTAAATAAACCCAATCTGATTATTTCAATGACATATAATGTAAAGAAATTTAAAATGCATTTTGGAATAAAATGGAATAATTCAACATTTCTTAAATGTTGTCAAGATAGACAGTGTTTTTTGGGAAAATAAGTAATGGTTCATTAGAAACTTGGATAAACAAAAGATTTCTAGATACTTTATTCTTGACATTCTGGACTTTGTCAAGAACCCTTGTTCTGCCTTCCACAGACTACTAAATTGTATGGAACTAAGGCTTCCAGAAGGGGAGAGTGGCGCATGGGAGCACAAGGCCAGAAGGGCATATGAACTAAACATGAGAGCATGGTGGTGGGTGTGTTTTGATAACATACACTTACAGAGGTGTGAACTTATATGTACAGTTTTTTAAAAATCAACTTTACCCCAAACATAACCAAGAAAAAAAACAATACAGTTTAGGAACCCAAGTCATTCAGCAAAGAATACCTGGATAACATAAAACTTTCACCTTGATATATACCAATAAGTACTATGGAACAGCATTATTTGACATTATTTCTATTAATGAATATCTGATGAAAGAATTAAGATGAATTTCATTCCTATACTAGCTGCTACCATATTTGCCCTTTGCATCTGTTAACAAATGCAAACACTATATCATCTTTTTATGGTTGTGGTGTCTGCAGAGCATGCACTGTCTCCCACAAACAGAAATCACACTGTCTAACCTCTTAAAAATTCATAAGCATATTTCATTCAAACATGAATTTCAGAAGAAAAGAACATACTGATTGCTCAACCTATTTCTTTTTAATGGTTTTCTGATTGTCTTTCTTTGGCCTACTTCCTTTTAATAAAATTCTATATAAAAATATTGAACAACTAATATTAAGAAAATCACCTCAGTTTTATGCGGTTTCAACAGAATTTAATAATTTTATGAATTCCAGTTATTGCAAATATAAACCAAATATATGCTAACATCAAATAGAAATAAAATACTTGCCACATAAATAATGCTTATTAAGAGAATATAGAAAAAGGTGAAACCTTTTTCAAAGTACTACATCTAAATGGTGAATTTATATCTTATGTCCCTGATTTTTATTACCTTTATTATTTTGTTAATTATATATTTCAGTACCTTTGGGGGAAAGGGTTAAAAACTGCAGTAAAAAAATGTTCAGCTACATAAAAGTAGAGATCCTTCATTCTCTTCAGGACACTGAATTATTGTTGCTTTGAAATAACTTTAATCATGACACTAAACTATACTGGATATACAAAGCCCAGACATAATACTAAAACCTTAAAACACCTTAAAAATATTTATTTTTTTAGCTATTGCAAAATCATAGGTAATTTGTCCATCATAAACAACTCTGCTAGGAGGAATGTAGTATCACATGTTTTTAAAAAACTGATGGACTAATTATAATGTGACTAAATGCCTGTACCACATTGATAGCAATACCTTTAAAAATAATGCAGGATGAATGGCTATATTGCACATTTGGTTAGCAAATATTTAGATCATGATGGATTTTATAAAAAATAAGTTCCAAAGAGAAGAATTCTAATGGACATTAATTATAGAGCATACGTTTTTGAATTCAATATGACTGGTTCTTAATTATTATTGACTTGAACAATACTTAAATGACTCAACTTGTGTGACAGAGACAGAAAAGATGAGAGGACAAGTAAATCGAGAAATGATGTGGCCATGGAGATGTACTGCTCAGAATTCCCTTCAAAGGAACCTGCTAAAAGCAGCCTAATGATTGGCAGTCATGAGAGCTGCCATAATTGTGTCTCTTCAAGTATCATTAACCTTAACTATCTGTGATGGAGAAGAGGAGGCTGGATGTGTAAGTCTGCATGTGTTTCCCCCAAGGAAGATTTAAAGGATCATCATTCTCTTCAAAGTTACACAATAACTTGAAGCTGCTTAAAATTAAAATCAGATTTTGCCAATTTTTATTCCTAGATAAACAAATTTCCCAATGCCTGTGAGGCACTAATGAAAAGTGAAATGGGTAAGATGACATACTTAAGAAAATATTTTCTATTTTGGACAAATAGGCACAAAGATTAGGATAAAGTGGTCCATCTATGGAATTTTATGACTTCCACATTAACTCACTGGTGAATAAACACTTATTTCTGAACCCTACCTCATACAATTTTATAGAATTTCATACAGATCCTTACAGGTTGCCTGATAACAAGTAAAATACTCTCTTGGAAGGAATGGATAATTACCAGAGGAAAGGTAATGAAAAATATGACCTATGACAGAGGAACAAAAATATGTCAGGGTCAAATCCATCTGGGGCAATCTCTTTCTATCCTTAGATCCTTAATCACAGTTCCAAGTAAAATGTGTGAAACTCAGCCAAAGGAAGTAATAATGGTTATCTTTGAAATAGGGATACTGTTTAGCTAAATACTGGGTAGGAATATTGCTACAGATAAATTGATAAAAGCAATTGAAAACTGTTTTCATACTTTTACATTTTATAAACCGAACTAATCATGGATCATATATATTACAGATGTAAAGTTCCTTTATATTTAATGTTGTATCATGAATTTTAAAAAGAAACATAACATTAATCATTTATTTTTCAGAACACTAATCACTGTAAACAACTTATATACCTACCTTTGGCTGAAGATTTGGATGTAATAAAACATAACCATTCGGATCAATAGCAAAGTAATAGCCATTAGGACACAGCTGAAAAAAACAACAACGAAAACAAAACTTAGAGTATTCGTGAGTCACAGTCAGAATTCCATATCCTTAAAAAATATATTAAATATACTTCTTCATGTATGAAAAAGAACAACATGCCTTCTTTACCTTTTACTTTAAAGACCCTTTAAGGATTTAGTTTCTTTGTAACTGTATATAACTTTTGAGAATTATTTAGGTGCTTTATGAAGAAACTAAGTAAATGCAGTTTTAAGATGGAAAAACACCCAAAGAGTAAATTGCCTCTTACTGTAAAACGTGGTGTCAGTCTTTTAATATCTTCCAAAGACACATCAACTCCCATCACACCAAGAATCAGCTGGTTCTATAAGATGACAAAAAGTAAATGTGGTTTTCTATTAATAATTTACTTATTCCTATAGAATTATTATGTTCATTCATATACTTGACAAATGTTGTATTCCATATTAGCTTAACCATATATATCACAGTGAGACACTGTCAATTTACAATGATTCTCAGTTTTGTATTCCTACAACTTTATCCTCATTATAATTGAGTTTAAAAAATTAAATCTCGATTATTCAATGAGCTAAATATGAAGGATACATAAAACATTTTATGTGACATTTCTTGTACCCATACAACCCCTAACATTTATTTTAATTGCTATTGTACAGCCAGAAGTTGTAGCTCTATGTGTACCTCATTCTGTGGTGTACTAGGACTAAGAAATCACAAAAACGGCCACCTTTAAGTTACTGGAGCAATAAGGAATGAGAAAAAAATGGATTTTTTGATGTGGATAATACCTATATATGTGTGACTATCCTGAAAACTATGTGAACTTATTGATAATACAGTAGCAGAAATCCTCAAAACACTTTCTGGTTGCCACAACAAACAGGACATCATTTTCAATTGCAAGTTAAGGAGGCTATGTATCAAATTGCTGTCATTACCTTCTATGGGACATAAAGATGGGAATTATGTTGAAAATTAGTCGGACTTTTTAAATCGAGTTTTTAATATATATATATATAATTATAAAATAATAGAAATGTCATACCTATGCTTTATTTTGCCCCGTGAAACAATCATATTCTTAGCAAACACTCCTATTAAGCAACCCCTTAAGACAATCTATCGCAGGAGTCAGAAAACTACTACCTTATCAGTTAGAATCTTCAGAAGCTCTAAACAGTTAAGTATGTAATGAGCCCCAAAGAGAAATAACCAATGTTTTCTATGGCCACATTATTAAAATAAGGAGAGCAACTGAAATTTACAATCACTGAACAAATAACACTTAACTGCAGTTGACTTCATTATACCAAAGACTGGAAATAAGTAGGCCTCAATTTAGGCAGCATGATAACCATTATAAAATGAGTATTTGCAATACAAATATCTATGGCTTTGTTCTTTGGATTTTTCCTTTCTTAATTTCATGGATATCTCAGATGCATTTAAAAATGTGAAGACAAAAATATTGTCCATTTATCATGTAATTACTCTAGAGTCTGCATTTGTTTTCTCATCAGGACATAGCTAAAAAGAGTTAAGATGAATCTTGGCTCTAAGGAACAGAGAACTTGACCTGTATTTCCTTTTTCCCAGGTGGTTATCACATAGGCAGCTATGGCCTTTTAGTTCTGGCCTCACAGGACAGTTACATTGTATGTATTTCCTTATAGAAATATCTTATCTACATTGGGCTTCAACGTCATAGTTTATCATTTATTATTATTATTAATTTTATCAATTAACTTTTAACCTTTGTTTTATTTTCAACTTGGCCAGTTATGTTGAAGACCGGAAGAGTTCCAGTAATGACAAGTCCCAGTTCCTAAAATAGATTCAGAGAGAAAAGGCAAATTAAAATTACAATTTAAGCTTTGACATAGTGCATTAATTAAACTTTGATATCTAACACCGCATTTATAGTCACTTTATAAAGAGCAACACGAAAAAATAGTAACTGATTTGAAAATTTATTTTGAAAAAAATCAATGAAAATATTTTGTAAATAATCAGGATCTATCTGGCAGCTTATGAAGTAGGCAATATCTAAAAGAATACTCTATGAGCTTAGAAAAGAACTAAAGAACTTTAAATCAAATTACACTAAATATTTCAGTAGCCTTGCTCTTCTACTCTTTTTTTACATAATACAGGTTTACATAATATCAGGGACTTTATGAACTGTGTATCAAAATATTTTTTCCAAATTGTTCATCTTCCTTTGTTGAGTTTCATTAATTTTTTCATGTCTTAAACCAAAGGCTTCATGCTAAATGACAAATGTATAGCAAAATAACAAAGAAACATGCCATTGGCACTGCATTTCTGGGATATTCTAGGTAAATAATACACTGCTCAAGAGAAGCAATATTGCTTGAAAATACCTCCAAAATACAAAATAACTTTTTACATAGGAAATTGATGCAGACAGTAGAATTACAATAAGCATCATACATGAAAGTTTACTTAGGAAGCAGTTTACTGTAACAGAGATAATGGCATGCCACTAATCACTACATAATTTCCAATATTCAATAAATCTATGGAGGTTAATTGAATAAAGTTGATTATAAGCCAGAAGTTGCTTTTTAATTGACTGCCATGTACAACAATTATATTTTGTACTGCTATTTCATGTTAAAAACTACATTTTCAACACAACCACTCTTTAAAACACTTAAAAATATTGAAAATTTTGAATTTGCTAAACTGAGAAAGTAATTTTTGTGTGACTAATGACTCCAATCCAAATCTCATGACCCTAGCACTGATTGTGGAAACAGCAAGTTCTCATGAAGAAAATATCATAGACTACGATTTATAATTGTGCCTGGGGAACAACGAAACAATGGGAACTGATCTAGTGAGGAAGGACAATCATAGAGAGACTTTCAACAAAACAAGATACCGAGTCATTTGGGACATAAATATTAAGTAAACAAATACACATAGTCGCAGGAGGCTAAACATATTGGCTCTCTAGTTAGTACTAAGCAAGAACAGTCCCAGTGAGAACATCCTTAATTAAAATCATACCAAAATGTTCACAATAACAATTTCCTAAAACTATATCCCAAAGATAATTCAATAAAGAATCATTCCAATGAACTATTTGAGTTGTCATGACTGTGCATAATTTTAAAAATGTTATCATAAGAAAGGCTGCATATGAATCCAATCTTTTCCTTTGCATCACTTTTGTGTAGATACAGAATAGAATAATTTGCTTCGAAATATGCTAATATGTGCCCTAAAATGAAATGCTATACTTCAAACATATTAAACAAAGTAATGGATGAACCCACTGGTGCCCAAATTCTATTTTCTCTTTTTTATAAAGCACAAAAAAACTGTATTTTATTACTAGAAACTGTACAAATTACTAGAGCATAAATAAAGAAAATAGTTTCTGTGCACTGGGGATTTGATATTTTTCTAGAACTCAAGTCTTTTCACTTCTCTTCATGATAAAGAACCTCAATTTAAATCTAAAACAAAAAGAATCCTTTACAATATTTCTTTATGTGCTTGATTGCTACCACAGAAAATCTTAGGGAATATACTGAAAAAAAAGTGCTATACTTTATAAATTTAGCAGGGAAACAGTATTAAGAAACCAACTGTATATCAATATATTAGCAACAAACTATTAAAAAATAAAAATGCTATTTGGAATAGCATTTGAAAATAACATAATAAGGAATACACTTAACAAAAGTTGTCAAAAACTTATTTGAAAAAAAGAATAATAAAAATCTAGGCTCTGAATAGAAAAATGTACCATACTGGGCCTCCCTGGTGGTGCAAGGGTTAAGACGCAACCTGTGTAGCTATCCACAGCCACTGCAGCACGAGTTCGATTCCCGGCCAGCCAGGGAGCAACCCACATAGCACAGCAGACCTCTCCTGACTTGTCCACTGCTACCCTCAGCAGTGTACTTTGGTCAATATGCCTGTTCTGTTCCTCACTCTGTCTCTGGTGAATCCTCTCAACAACCCCCCCACCCCCGCCCCACACCCAGCACCTCTAGCCTTTATATATTTTTGTAACTGTAAGCTAGTACTTCTTTACAAAATGCCAAGCTACTTATTTTTCCTCACCACCAGCCCTTATATCACTTTGATCTTTCCCCCTCCCATTACTCTTAACCTCAGAAACCTCCTTTCAATTAGTGTCCACTACTTTTTACAAATATTTTACTTTGCTGAATTGTCTGCAATGTACATGTCCAATACTTGCCCTTGTCATTCTGACTTGCTTTACTACTCATAATTACCTCCAGCTCCTTCCATTTTTGCTATAAATGGCAATATTTTGTATTTCCTTATGCAGAATAGTGTTCCATTGTTTGGACATACTCTATTTACTTGATCCAACCCTCTACCAGCAAACATTTACATTGTTTCCATGTTTTAGCTACTGTAAATCACACTGTAATAAATATTGTGGAGCACATAATTATTCTGATTCACATTATTATCCTACTCCTGTTTCTGTCATTGTCTCTCCCATTTCTTCTAAAATTGACTAAACTATCATTTCTTCAATGTAGCCGACACTTCCTCAGCTTCCACACTGTACCTCCTTTGATTGGTTTCTATTTCCATCACCAGTTGTAGAAATCTTAATGCACTAATATCTTCAGGCTGAAATGTCTCTATCTTTTTACCCTCACTCTACTCTATCCCCGAATAAATAGCTTTTTTCCCTCCTGAATTTCCAGAGCTCTTCAGTTTTCTTATTCTACTTATTACATTCTCTTTTTCATTACATTTTTCAACATGTCCCTCTTAATAAATCTGTTAATTTGAATAGCATATATTTTGATTCTGCTATGTGCCTCACTTTTAATATACTAGAGATTCCAGGTAAATCACTTTTCATTCTTAAGCAAGGAAAATTAATGCTCTTGATCTACTGAATAGGAAGTTCATGTGACTTATTTTTTTTTTTCTTTTTTTACACTTTTTAAAAATATACTTATAAAACAGTATATTTAGAGCCAAAATTTCTTCATAATGTTATTTATACTACCAGTAGAAACTTACCAACAAGACAGGCATGCTGGCTAATGAACTTCTGGTCATAGGAGATAGATCAAGACATAATTATTGACTACTCCTATCGTACTCTGTCCTGTGATGGATTTGGAAAAGCGAAACATTTTGACCACAACTTTGGGTGACCATGTAACCTTAAATAAATATATGATGTCAAGAAGGAACACTGGACAGTAATTTTAGCTAGGGATTGAGGTAAGCAAGCTTCACTTTATCTTTCTTAGCATGCAAGGCTGCTGCTAATAGTGCCTATTTTTCTTCTTGCTTCCTGTATATGTTTATTTTACAAGAACCAAATGATAAGTAATTCTAAATGGATTGCATTTTGCCCTTTGGGTTCATCATTGCACTCAGAAAAGTACTATCAGCATAAAATTGAACTCCAAGTAGGAAAAAGAGTTACTGAATCAACATTTGCTTTTAGGGCTTAGTATTTTGTTTCTCTCCAGTATAGTGTATTAGTAAAATCATTAATAAACTCATGAGAATAAAGCATATGAGTAAATTTTAAGTATGATAATTGCTATCTATAACTTTCAAATTCACAAAGTAAAAATTACATTAAGAAAAGATTTTTCTAAGTCAGTCCTATTGCCATTTTGAGCTGGATAATTATGTGTTGGACAGGGGGAATGGTTTACAGTGTAAGATGTTCAGCAGCATCCTTGCTATCCATCCAATGTCAGTAGCAACTGCTCCCCACCAGTCATGGCAATTCAATATATCTCTACATATTTCCAATTAACTTTTGAGGGACAACTTTACCCTAGCTGAGAAACACTGCCTTGAAATACAGTTGAATTCCCAAACCAAAATTTCAATTGTGCTATGCTCAATCAATGTTTTTTTTAATTTGTTCATACCAGATTGGATCATCTTGATAGCTTTTATTTTTCATAAATACCTAGGGTCAAATTGAAACCAACATATTATTTATGAAGAGGTGATTGGTCCTGGTAATTTCAGAGTAGGGTTAAGATTTTGCATATCTAGCTGCACGTACATCCAAGTTTCGGTGGGTCTGGCTTGGTTACAGAGGTTATCCATAATTTTGCTAGCTGAAATCTACATTTTAAATAATTTCTTCAATATCCTGGTTCAAAATCTGCAGGCATAGGTGCTAATTCACATGACTTTCAACATTTTTTACACAAAAAAGCCCAAAATTTATTTAAATGCCTATAAATCCAAGATCTTAGGTTGGCAATTCTACATTCTCACTGGATCAACTAGAGAATAAAATAACAATTTACACTTATAGTTCTCTCCTACACATGGGCTTAGTTTTTATAGTAAATGACATAAATTCCAGTAAGAAGGTTGTGATAGAGAGAATTTTAGAAAAGGTTTAATGAATAAGAAAAGTGTCACTCAGAAAAAAAACTACAAGCCAGCTGTGCTTTGTTATGAGACTTTGCCTGAACAGCCAATCTCTTACCAGAGCATCCAGGTACACATTTGTCCACTGAACTTGTTTAGCTTTGTCTCCTGCTAAAACCATTGGTCTTCCCAGAACATCCAGATATTCCTATTTTAAAAAAAGGTAAATGTTGGAAAACTAAAACTGCCATATAAACAAAAAAATATTTCCACAGATGTAAAATAATCTAAATTTGAAAAAGGAACATGGAATCAAAATTATTGATTCCTACTTTGGGACTACATAAATGATATGTCTACATTCTTGGACTCAACAATATTTGACTTAGATTATTTATAAAATATATCTACCCCAGTTTTCTTCTAGTAATTATCAAAACGTTCTTTTTATGAGGTTCAGTCAGTGATAAGTGAAATACATTCCTTGTGAATTGTTTTATGTTAATCTAAACTATTTAGGGCTCTGTGATTTACTGGATGGAATTGTACAAATTTGAAATAATAAAGCGGCCACATACATGCTTTCATATCACAGATTTTTGGCTGAAACTCAAAACTACATTTAAACATATCAAAAAATAAATGAAATACTGTGCCAATTCTAGACATCAGACTCAAAATACAGCTGCTGTTTCATTTCAACATTCAACATATTCAGTATTCATTTCCACAAATGCCAAGTTATTCATGCTAAATCTTGACTTAGTCTATTTTGTGGATCCTCAACTATGCTTAAAATTGAGTAATGGTTTTTAAAAGGTGATTTATGAATATTTTAAAATAATATATATTTCAATTAATTCAATCTATAGCAGGCATATTTTCCACTGAATGGTTACAGAAAAAATATCTCTTTTTTGTAAGTATATTTTAAACAGGTAAATAGATCTACAGGGGTGATTTATATCTAATTTATATCTAAATTGTGACTAGTCTATAATATAATTAGTCCTTAATTTTTTTAATTTTCCATGATGTACCATAAAGAAAGTCATTTAAATGAATTAAATTACACGTTAATAAACTTTATTTTATGATTTAACATCCGAGAAGAACAATATATTCATTTTTTACCTGAGCTTTGGATGTTTGAAAACACTTTGGTGCCTTAATGCAATAACCCAATACATTGCCATGATAATCATCATTCTGCCAGAAAGGTAATATTATGGTTTTTTTTTTTTTTACATTTTTATCTCTTTTCTCCATATTGAGCATATCTGAAGCAGAAATTTGTTGTTTTGAAAAAATAATTTAAATAAGTTGTAAATAACCATACCTGAGTATTGATTCTTATAGCTCCAATGGAAGGAATTTCATAATAATAACCTGAAATATATACACACATATTTATTTATACATAACTATTATAATGAAGGGCTACACATTATTTTATGACTTTGTGTAGAAAACAGCATTTTTACTTCTACTTGAGTATACATTGAAATGTCTATACCACTGATACGTTTTAGATGCATTTTACTGTAAAGCACTAAGGAACCTGGAATAATTCTAATTATTTTTTTCAGAAATCATTAAAGTTACATATTAATGGCACCTGACAATTAATACACTTAAGTAACATTTTTGCCTAAATGTAGCAATCAGGACAAATTTTCAAATAGCATCTTTTTCTCCCCCAAAGGACAAAGGGAACACAGCCTCACTACAAAAAATTTGCATTGCCTAAGAATGTATAAAGATAATTAAAAAAAAACAGTAAGTTATCCACTCAGAAAAATGTAATATGTCACTTTCATAGCTGTTATACAAAATTCAAATATTCTTTTATTCCCAATACTTCATATCAGGTTCTATTTGATATCATTAAATAACATATATCCCTTTCAGTATCATTAAATGTCTGAATTTATGTAAAATAGTAACACTAAAGTCAAAGTTTGCTATGTTCCTGAGTGTTCTCTGTAGAAAATATGTCTAACATCTTGATTCCTACAAAAATTAGCCACACCTTGATATTAAATAATATGTAGAATAACAACTATCAAGTTACTTCTTTTCTAATAAAATGTGGCCAAGAAATCAGGTCTGTTACCTTTGTTTTCACAGGCCATCCACTGAATAGGTCCTCTGTCATAATTATGTTGACCAACTGAAAAAGTGAATACACGTACCTGGTGAAATGAAAAATAGCTGTTAGACTGCGTAAAATTGAAGGGCAAAACAGAGTGAAAAGAGAGTTGATTAATATGACAAGAAAAATGGATCCCGGTAAAACATTCAGGAAAGCACCAGAGGGAAACATAACCTATTCTGATCACAGACTTTAGTTACTAAATTTCAAAAAGCACTTGGGTACCCTGTGCCCTATCACAATATTGTGGCAGGATCATGACAAAGCTGTGATGAGTAGAAAAGGCATCTTTGGTCCAACCCAATTTCACCTGTCTCACCTAGTTAAAACACATTTGCCACTTACTTAGTCACTATACAAAAAAAGTTTCCTCTGTTTCATATGTATGTGGTTATAAATATAGAGACAGGAAGTCATTATACTCTTTATTGCTTGCGGCAATTAAATACAGAAATGGTTTTACTATTTTCAAATCATGGAAATATTTAGGATATACACATATGATTATGATGTTATATTACTTTTCTATAAAGGATAACACATTCATAAATAAGTAAATAATTTAAGTTTTTAAGATTTTTAAAAGGAATTAAAATACCAACTGTTTCTAATAGGATCATTTAAAATATTAAAATATTTTAAAACAAGGCAGTTTTTAAATTGTAGTAACTTAAACCTAAGAAGTCACTGAATTTACATCGTATAAAAGTGTAGAGCATTCACTCAACGATGTCAACAAATGTTTCATGAAATAGCTATTCAACAGATATTGATTTTAATTGATTTAGTAATCTCAGTAAACCAATAGTCTAACTTCAACATTTTAGCTCTTTCTAAAGATAAACATGCAGAAAATCACTCTGCCATAAATTCATGTTCTGGTTTGAACTATGTTAAGAGCTTTCCCCTAATTCATGTCGATTGACTGTTTGAGTTGACATTTTCTAATTGTTTCGTCTGTTTCAACTTTTGCACATGATTCCAGAGCACAAACCTCAAAAGAGCTTTCACATCTGTTCTCTGTCCTTTCACTGGAATGGCCACACAGAGATCACATCATAACAATCTCTACCCAAAAATGTACATTGAGGATGTTGCTGTTTCACTTGTAAAGTTTTATGTGAGCCACTCGTAAGCCGTGCAGGTTTACTTAGCTAGTTATGCAGAAGCATTTGGTGAACACATCTGAGATTTAATCACCTCAAATGGCAAGGACAAATGACTGGTTATAGGTGACTCACTCTCTCCCTCAAAATGCAACCATTTCATTTACTTTCTTTCTACAATTGGGGCATTTTGAGGGCTGTCTATATAATTCAATGTAATGTTACTGCTAACATAGATGAACTTACTTCTTTATGGAAACATTTTTATAAGCAGGTTGGCCAACCTAACTGATAATTCAATTAAACTGCCATACCTTAAACAACAGACATGAATTCAGGACAAAGAAAAACTCCAGATGCTCCAGAAAGCATTTGGGAATCATTCCTTCACAGTTAACATTTGAGAGCATGTCTCAAAGTTCAGTTTCAAGCACTGCTTTGTCTAGTTTTTCTTGTTGCCACAATAATGTTCTAGTAAAACATTTCCACAAATGCTTTTCAGTAAAAAGGAGTAAGACTAAATGAATTATATACCTATCTCTTTAAAGGCAAGTATTTCTAAAAACACAAAATCTACACTTTAGACATACACTGGTGATTATTTAGACTGATGTTATCCATAAGGTAGTCCAAATAAACTCAGTCAAGTAATAACTATTAAGAAAAAGTTTGCTGTTTTGTTTTACTACAAAAGTTTCACCTAATCCCCATGGTTTGGGGAAGCCCTCAGAGGATATTCAAATTAAGGAATTCAGGATCATGGCTGGGGACATACATACATTCTGTTATATCTTAGTTTTACAAAATTTTAAATAAACAAAATGTTTGCCTTCTCTTCTTTTTGTTCATTTTTTCATGCAGATCTTTGACTATTTGAACATATGTTGCATCAACTGATTGAATCTTGCCCAGATTATAAAAATATATAATTTGTACCTCTTAATTTCCATCTGCCTTAGTGTAAACATTTCAAGACACTATTTTCCTCTCAATCATTACTAAAAATCCTAAGAGTTGGGCCTCCCTAGTGACACAAGGGGGTTAACACACAACCTATGAAGCTGTCCACAGCCTCTGCAGCACGAATTGGATCCCCGTCCAGGGAGCAACCCATATGGCACAGCAGACCTCTCCTGTCTCGCCTGCTGCTCCCCTCAGCAGTGTACTTTGGTCAATCTGCCTGTTCAGTTCCTCACTCTGCCTCTGCCTCGCCCCCCACACCTCTGGCCTGTACCCCAGTTCTTGTATGCATAAATAAATAAATCTTTTTTAAAAATCATAGGAGTTACAAATGCTGCCTTTTTATTATTTCTGCCACTACCTTATTATCACAAGCTTTATAAAATCTTTCTACTACATCTAAAATTCTTATTTTTCACTTAGTGGATATATAAAAATATGTGAATGCATATATTCAATAATTTTATAGATTTTTTTAGAATTTTTTAAAATGATTTTATAAATTTATATCTGGTTAACAAAAAGTTTAACAAAATCAACTAAAATTTTTCATTCTTTTTATAACAATGAAAAAAAAATCAATATAAAAAATATTTTGTTCCCATTTGTCACATACATGTTGAATTTGGCTTTGCCTTACAACATTTTAGCTAATTACATAACAATAATTTGAAACATTTTTTATTTCATAAGCATGCACCATGCACATTGTATGGTACATGTACATAAATAATACAATTTAAAGATTTTTGCACATCAACTTCCCGCTTGAAAGTATAGACTCTCTTTATTCTTGTATAGTATACTATATTACTGCCACCCTGTGGAATAGCTAATGAACTAACTCTAAAATTCTAGATGCCCAAATCTAGAGATGATTGCTACCTCCTCATTGTTCTCATTTTCCACTTCTTAAAATTAATAGTTCGTGTTTAGCTATGATTTGGGCGTAAAGGAAAAATAAAGTCATTTCTAGAAATATGCACAAATTTAAAAATCACTTTACATTCTCACAGATGTCTCTTTTTAGTGTTATTATTGAATTTGCAGGGTCCACTTAACAAAATAACATATAAAACAACACGGATACTTTATGTGTAATCATATAAGCTATGTATTTCATATAAAATTTCAATTAAGCAAATTATTTACCATAGAGCAGGTACACAAGGTCAATTTATTGAAGGAAAAATTCCTTCACTCAAACCTATAAATTATAAATTTATAATCATAACTAGATTCAAGTAACACATGCACACTGGAAATTTCAGTGGTAAGTGAAATGTTGCAAAGAATTTTGCTAAATGTTCCTGGAAAAAATTGTATAATTTTTGCTAGGTGCATACTTCAAAATGTTCACCCAAAATAGGCATATATACAGCCAATAGATGGTTTTGAAACTATTGTAGTAATGCTATTACTAGATCTTTTACAGAAATAGCATGGCCATATAGTATTGAATAAACCATGGACTGGATTAAACAATTCCAAAGCTGTACTATTATATCTATTTCATCTATTGTACTGCCTACCACCATAAAGGAAATACTTATTAAATAAAAAGAGCAAATGGCAAAATGGGTGATCTCTCCTTCAAACTAGAGGGTGCTAAGATGAGCTTTGGTGCTACCTGACATGTAATTCATTAAAATAGAGCAAAGCCAAAACTGTACCAGTCATCATTTCATTATTTGGACACTTCCATTATATTTATAGCATGGCAAATTCCTAATATTTTTATTTTATGTCACGCATATTTGCTTAATAGAGTAAAACTTCTGGCAAATGTAAAGGATACTTAATAGACTTACAGTACTTAAATACTGCATTATTCCTGGAGAATGAAAAAAATTCTCTGAATTCCTGACCAATTCTTAAATGCGCATGTTCACAAAAGCATTAGTAATTTGGGAGTATATCCAATAAAATTAAATTTAATACAATTAAATATGTTTATTATTAGCTGGAAATTTATATAATTTTGCCTTCAGTTATTTCAAAAGCCATTTTTCCTCTGAACAGAACACTAATTCCAATAATCTAATTAGCTATAAGCCTGGCCTACTTGATGAGAGAAAACTTAACAGCAAATTTGTTTATTTAAAATGTTTTACTGATTTTTTTTCCTCACAGTACACCACTGATTTACAACTATATCCTACAGTTCTGAACTTCTGCTAATCTTTTCATTTTGTTTTGTTTTGTTTGTTGAAGACTAAAATACTTGTCTTCAATTAAGATTTTTCCAAAGCCACAGGGTCAACCTATTTTAAAAAGCCATAGGAATTTCTTGTTTCCCAGCAGAACCCAGTTACTGGAAACTGTCACCTCAACAATTATCAGTTATGCAGAGTTCAAGCTTAATTTACAATAGGCAAATCTCCAAGGATTAATGGAAATGAGACTCTGAAGCAAGGAAGCCAATAAAACTAGAATAAAAACTTGCTATCGAAACATGTTAGAAAAAATGATGTCAGAAACCCTTTTAATAATTTACTATGTGTACTAAAATTTTTGGCATTAAGCCTATAACACTAGATTAGAGTGAATATTTTAAGAGAAAATTCTACATTGCTTCCATAATTCAAAAATGTACCAGAATCCAGAATGTTTGAATAACCTGTATCTCTAGTTTTGTAGCATTATGAAATAAAGTGTCAAAATCACCTTTCACAATTTATTTCATAAAACCTCAAGATCTGAGAGATACTTGCTGTCTGCAGAGTTTTGATGGCTTTGTTTAATCCTCTTGAGCCTGTAAGGTTGTGAGAAGCCACGTCCCTTTGTGGTTAAGTCTTGCTGCCTGATAAGGAAAGCTCCTGGACAGGCAAAAAATGATTGGCATAGCTTCAGGGCTGCTCAGGAGAAAGAGAGACACAGACAACCCACCAGGGGCATTTCACATGAGGTTATAAAATGTGGACTGTGTGGATCATTTAAATTTTGACTCCACTTATTATCTGAATGACTTTTA